GAGTCAGAGCCAAGAAACTATTTTGTGAATTTTTTTGCAGTATTATGACGATTGTTTAGTTATGACTTTTTAGAGAAAAATTAATTATGCCACTTGCTTAGCCATTTTTACGAATGTGAATGTATATGTAACAAAGAGGTGAACAAAGTTCATGAAAGTGTGCAAAAGGATTAATTGAAAAGGAATGAAAAGAAAATCGTAAGGAAAATAAATAAACGAGACATGGAAGTAAGAAAATGTCGGTGAAAATAAAAAGAAGAGAAAAAAAATTGTCGAGACTGACAAGCTCGCGTGCCGATCAATTATTTATTTTTCGGATTCGTCTCGATTTACAATATCATAAAAGTTGAGTCCAAAAAATTTCTGCCAACAACTCCATCTACCGTAAAAAAAAAAAAAAAAAAAAAACTCCATCTACCGTACGCTTTCTTATTTATTTAGTTTATTTTATATTTCCTGTTATTTTAATATTGTTTACAAAACCCTACATCTTCATTCATATTATTAAAAAAAAAATTATTCGTTCACCTAAAAAATAATACAGATGAGAATACAATCAAATCATGCAAAAACAAAAGGTTGAGGTATGAGTCACTTCTTTATTAGCATCAACAAATTTGAGATACTTAGCTATTGACATGACGTTTCTTATGTATATCATTATTATTTTTGATCAAAATGCAAACGAATATAAGTAAGCATCACCATTTATTTTTAGAAGAAAGAATGACAAACGACTGCGCAAATAGTTATTTCACCTTCAGTCACTCGGAAGTCATATTATTATTCCTTTCCAAATTTACAATGATTAGCAAAATATGTAAGCATCACCATTTATTTATTTTTGTTAAATGGTTTGCATGTAAGCATCACCATAAATAAATGAATGCCAAAACATCAGAAACAGAAATAAATCACTTGTAATGGTGAGAGTAGACACGAGTTTTGATTATGACTATTGATTCATCAATATAATCAATGATTTAGTATTAATTTATAAGATACCAAATCAAGAAAATTGAACAAGGATTATAACAAAAGCGAAAAGTAGAAAAGACTGAAGTATAACCCAAAAAATACTAAAGTCTATATTTATTATAAAGATATCATGGATGGGCTATATTAATTTCATAATACCGATTGTACGTACCAAACATGGAATCTTATTTTCGTGACCATAATTGAATTAATTACGTTTGTAATTCATAAAAAAAAAGAGTTGGTGGACCCCAAAACTAAGTAAGATCCTCATGAGTCATGACAAATGCCAATCTGACACACAAAAAAGTTATGTCGCCATGGTCTAATGCATGACACAAAAAGTAATACAAACCAACAAGAAAAATTGAAATTATGCGATTTGGTTACAAAAATGAGACATGATTAAGGACCCTTAATTACGCGTACCATATCACGCTTTCAATCCATAGTAAACGTTGTTAAGGCTATTCCATGATAAAAATAATAATTTGGTCAACTATATTAGAATATTTACCTTCATTAATACGAAAATACTATATGAATATATTATGTGGTGGTTAATCTAACTAAACGCACCAATCAATGAGAAACCTTATAAGTTGTAACACACAAAAAATCACGTTTTTCTAATACTAGTAATTAAATAGATTTAAAAAAAGGCTTCAGTATTTTTGGTAAATTGGAGAGTAGTAAATGTCTTTTTTTGCCTCGAGTAAATAGTACAAAGTACCTAGTGAGCAAATTTATTGTTTGTTTAGCTCCAAAGCAAAATTATTGTTTGTTTGAATAAATTTGATGAATAATTCGATGGGACAGTAAATACATCAGTGGGAGCGATCGATCAGTAAACATGAAGTATGTATATACAAAAAAAAACAAATCATTGAACATCTTAAGTCGGAAAACACAAACAATTTGACCACAAAAACAAAAGGTGTCGCGTGGTAGAAAATTTGGTAATTCATTTCACAAACTGGTGAAAATCGGCTAACATAATCCCTTTTAGTGAACAAATATCGACTGAAACGTTTGGCTTTTTACGATTACATCAACTTTTAAACTAACAAAGTAAACCATTTTAAAGTCAAAATTTTTGGCGAATATTCCAGATAGATGTATATACTTTTCTTGATTGAAACGTCGTATTGTCGTTAATACATATTATAGTACATCTGGTTAGATGCTTGTGTGTATGCCAACATTGCCAAGTGATGATTGGTGATTCGTCCATCTTAAAAGATTTTTTTTAAAAAAAAAATACCCAAGATATTCTTACAATTTCTTTCATATCAAAGAATGCAGAACAATCCATATCCCGTTTAAATTGAGCAAGCTGAACAGGAAAAAGATCTTAAATAGGTTAGAGAAAACCATTATGACTTACTGATTTCAATCTGAATACCACTATCTCAATAAACTATGTACGAGGTCGATACAGCCAGTACAAGATATATACTCCTATATGCAACATCACCACAAGAATTTATGACAGATCTAGTCGTACATTGCTGACAGAGTTGTATGAATTTTTTTTGTTTGGCATTTTGTTTATCTCTTTGTTTACCTGAGGTCGAGTTTGATAGCAAAGTATTTTTATAAATAGTCATAATTTTCAAAAAAAATTATGACTAGCGGTATTATGCCATTCGTTTTTTACGTTTTTGTACCAAATTCGTTTTGAGATGATAAGGGGTGGTAAGAATTTATTTAACGTTTTGACATTTCTGTAAATGTTTCATAAATGGTAATTTGACTAAATACTATCAATTTTTTTGTTTGTCAACAAATATAATATCAATATTTCTAGTTTTATTCATCTTTTATCGTAATGATATCTTTTATTGTATAGTCAACTCTTTTGTATGGTTATTTTTTTGCAATCAGATTCAATAAATGATCTCTAAACGTAGTGCAGTTTCTTATTATGTCATTTTTATCGAAATTTGTTTATATCAGCAATAAAACATAAACTCTTTTCAGAAAATAAAACTTTAAAAGATTAATTTAAACAAAAACAAAAAAGAAAAAGAGAGTGAAACAAGCATTTGATGTTGAAGTCTACATCGGTCACCGGGAAGCGAAAGTCATCAAACGTCCACTTGGACTCGATGAGAAATTTACAAGTGGGGTGCTTGTTGGCTATAGTCATATTGACCCCAAATTTATACATACAAATTAGTTCTAATTACGTGACGAATAAACTATACTATTAAATTATAGATATGTGTGTGAGAGAAAGATATAAGAAGTTTTTTTTGTTAAAAATATCTAAGGGATATGCATAAAACTTTTGGAAGGATCTCTGTTTAAATAATCATTCTTGTGATATTTAATCAGAATTTTGAATTTTCTTTTTAAAAAAAAAAATTAAAAAAAAATGGGTAGTGATCTTTAAATGCGTTTTTTCAGAAAAATACAAGTATCCATTTTCTTAAATCTTAATTTAATCAAAAATCTACAAATATCCAATTTTCATAGTTGTAGATGACATTTTGGTGATTTGAAAAAAAAAGTTATTAAGACAACCGAAAGATTACACAAAGCTATAAAAAAATCTAAGAACTAATCGAATCTCAAGTCATTCTAAATATATTGAAGGAACTTTTGAGTAGTTATGATTCGATCGTTGCATTGCTTGCTGACAATCATTTTTGCTCCATGGTCTTGAACAGAAAACTTACTAGAAGATAAAAATTCCAACACACAAATTTTTAGACGGACTACATTGAAATAATAGTTTAAAATAAAAATCTATTACCGAGAGAAGGATGAGTTTTCAATTCAATCTATCTCTAAATTGGAATAAACATAGAATAATGGATTATAATAGTTTTAACAGCCGTTTGAATTTAACGTGGGATATATAAAGAAAACTACCAAAATATTTGGATGATATTAATAAAATATAAAAAAATACTCATAATACAATTATACAATTATAAAAGAGGAACACACTGTTGAAAATAAACACAAGAGAGTGAGTTTTTTTGTTAGGGTTAGTCGAAATTCAGTTAAAAACGTTTTAATTTGTGTCTTTCACTCTTTGTTTGACTAGGGAGCACGAGTTTGCTCTGATGAACAAGTGTCTGCGTGGTAAAGCAGTAGTTCCTAAATTGTGTTTAAAGATTATTGCCGAAATCAAAGAATAAATCTAATTTTTGTTACTATTGGTTCCGAGTTAAAAAACAAATATCGCTTAGTGTTAGATCATCTCCAACCCTACTCCAAATTTTACTGCAAAATAGAATTTGCAGCAAAATTATCTCCAACCTTACTCCAATTCTCATTTCAAAATGGAGTAAAAAAGGAGTTATTCTAAATATGAAACAAAAAATAGAATTTTTCCATTTTTTGGTCATAACTTTATTTTGGAGGAAAAAATGGAGTTTACATTGGAGTAAAATCCAATTCCATTTTGGAGTTACTCCAAAATAAAGAAAAATATACAGTCATATATTGGAGATGCTCTTAAAGAGTTGGTTAGTATCGAGTTAGAGTTAATGAATGTCTTAATGTAGGAGTAATTTCAATTAGACAAGTGATTTTTAGTGAATATTTTGAAAACGTAAGCATATTACAGAAATCTCGAAAAATGGGTTGTGTGCATGTTTTTCTTTTGTTTTTATTAACAAATAATGTACCATTTGAACAAGATATTCATTCCAAATATTTTTCATAAACATTGCAAATTAATCCCACATTTTTTCTTAATTTGTGGTGAAACTATTGATCTCTGGAAAAACCAAAGAAAATATGATTAAGCCCAAAAAAAAGAAAAAAGAAAAGAAAGAAGAGATAACACAACTTGAAAAAAAAAAAAGAGAGAAAATATCTGACAAGCTGCCCGAAATGACAGAGTAACTGTAATCAAAAGTATCAAACTGACTAGGGCAAAAAAAATTGCTGCCCGACGGGCAAATCCCCAAACTCCAATAGAGTTCGTCTCTCTCTCTCTTTATCTCCGTCTCTTTATTTTCTTCTTCTTTTTAATTCACTTTCCAAAAAAATCCAAAAAAAAAGATTTAAAAATTAATATCTCAATGGCCCTATCAATGTGTACATAAATGTGAAACTTCCCTCTTCTTCTCCATTGGAATCCCCAAAGCCAAAGAAGGCCAACCACCGTTCTGCGTCACGGTGGCGCTTAATTCTCACGGCGGAGCGCCTCACCGGTGGCAGACGGTGTCGTGATTCCTCTCCTTAAGATTTCATCATCTCTCTCTCTCTCTCTCAACCGTCGTGTGTCTAGAGTAAGAAGCTGAGATGGGACAGAGCATGAGCTGTGGAGCGAGACCGGAGCACGGGATATTCGCCTCCGTGCAGTGCGGCGACATCGTTACTGTTCGCCGTCTTATGGCGGCGGATCCGAGTATTTTGCATCAGACCACTGCTTATGATCGTCACTCCGTTCTCCATGTCGCTGCTGCTAGTGGCCAGATCGAGGTTAGTTTCAGCTGATTTCCCCGGGATCTCGCCGGAATCTGGTGGTTTTTGTTTCAGATTCGTGGAGTATAGCTTCCATTTCAGATATTTTGTTTTTTTTTGGGGTTAGATTCGATTTTTTCCTGATGTTTCCTCTTTTTCTCCTCCCTTTTGCAGATTTTGTCGTTGTTATTGGAACGATTTACGAATCCTGATATGTTGAATCGTCACAAGCAGGTTTAAGCAACATCTGATTCGCATTGATCTGGTTTGTTTCTATATTTTCTGAAAACTTTGAGTTTGAGCTGATATTCTTGCTTTGGGTTCTTGTAGACTCCGTTAATGTTGGCTGCTATGTATGGGAGGATCTCATGCGTGAAGAAGCTCGCTGAAGTTGGAGCTAATGTACGCTTCAAAAAACTTTCTTTCTTACGATCAATTCGGGGTTTGGATTTGGAATCTGTGGTTGATGATCTTTCTAGGAAATCTGCAGATTTTGATGTTTGATTCTGTCAATCGAAGAACATGCTTGCATTACGCAGCATACTATGGACACGCTGATTGTGTTCAAGCCATTCTCTCTGCTGCTCAGTCAAGTCCTGTTGCTGTTCATTGGTGAGTCTCTTTACTTGATCAGTTTTCTTGAACATTGTGCATTTAAGATCAAACTCTTGAATGAAAAATTGACACTTTAGATTTGAATTTGTCAGGGGATATGCTAGATTTGTGAACATAAGAGACGACAAGGGAGCAACCCCGTTGCATCTAGCTGCCAGGCAGAGACGGCCTGAGTGTGTGAATGTTCTGTTGGGCAGTGGTTCTCTTGTTTGCGCATCTACTAGCGTTTATGGGTAATGGGAATGTTTTCCATTGACGTTTGTTAGAAGTTGCGTTGCAATCCATTGTAGACTAATCATCCAAGCTTTGTTGAAACAGGTCTCCAGGGAGCACACCTCTTCATTTGGCAGCAAGAAGCGGATCTATCGATTGTGTCAGAAAGCTGCTTGCTTGGGGTGCTGATCGTCTTCAGAGAGACGCTTCTGGGTACAAAAAACATTCTCTGTTGCCACTTTCCTATATTTTTGTTGGAAAATCTTGTGCTGGTTTCAGAACACCCTGTGAAATCTATAAATTTTTATCATCTTGTGGAGGGTTAACTTGAAATCTTGAAATCTCTTTTGCAGGAGGATACCGTATGTGGTTGCCATGAAACACAAGCACGGAGCATGTGGAGCGTTGCTAAACCCGTCCTCTGCAGAGCCTCTTGTTTGGCCATCGCCATTAAAGTTCATCAGCGAGCTTAACGACGAGGCGAAACTGCTCCTAGAGCAGGCTCTTATGGAGGCTAACAGGGAGAGAGAGAAAACCATCCTCAAGGGAACTGCTTACTCGTTGCCATCTCCAACTTTCTCCGACACTGCCTCAGATGATAACATGTCCGAGGTAAACACCCTTTTTACTCAGACATAATGGCTTTCAACTGTTTGTTTACTTGCATTTGTAATAACAAAACTGGCATGTGTCTATTAGGTGAGTGATACAGAAGTTTGCTGCATTTGCTTTGAGCAAGCATGCACGATAGAAGTGAAAAACTGTGGTCACCAAATGTGCGCACAATGCACACTTGCACTTTGCTGTCACAACAAACCGAACCCAACGACTTCAACCGTGACACCACCGGTCTGTCCGTTCTGTAGAAGTGTCATTGCTCGGTTGGTGGTGGTCCAAAACAACAACAACGACAAGAGCAAGAGCCAAGATGAAGTTGTTGTTGTTGATGCAGCAGGTGATGTTAGCTCTTCAAAACTGAGAAAGCAAAGAAGATCGATGAATCTTGGAGAAGAAAGCAGCAGTTTCATGGGACTATCAACCATTGGATCGTTTGGTAAGATAACCGGCCGTGGCTCGGGAAGGATCGCAGCCGAGAACGAGCTGATGGACAAACCGATCTTGTGAGGACCGATTCACACATTTTGGGTGGAAAAATTGGGATGAAAATTTGTGAGAATGTATAAAATATAGTTGAATTTCTGTAGATCTTTTGTTTTGGTGGGGATGGAGATTGAAATAAGGAAAAAAATGAAGTGAGTTTATGTAATGCAATGATTTGTTGTTTCTTTGATAAGTTTGGCAAAAAAATTGTTTGTTGTTATTATTTGGTTTCTTGAAATGAAAGTGAAGCTCATAATCTTCTTTGCCTTTGTCTCACTTATTTGGTTTGTTTTGTTCTCTAAATTGGTATTTTTTACCAATAAAAGGCGAATTAGACTTTTCGCCTATTTCATAAAAAAAAAAGGATTAATTTAGATGGGAACATAAATATTATGGGAATGGCTGCTAAGTTGCCAAAGGTCTCTTCTCAATGGTGCATTGACCCTACATGATCCCATCACTTTCTTTATCCCCTCAACTTGTGGTCTCCAACAAAATGTATTAATATTTTGAAATTTGGCTCTTTGTTTAATTAAAATATCTATATTTTTTTTAACATTAGTCAAATTGTTACAACTAGTACATACACATGGTCACTTTTTGTTTATTCGTTCGTGGACAATTATTTTATACGTCAAGACTCGCTATAGAGTCATAGTAGGCAAAGACTGATTCGGTCGTTGATATTTTTATCTTACTTTGAGAAAAATAAGCTATTATTCAGAAAAATAAAATATAATAAACAAGCAACTGATTATTATGAGTCAAAGACGATATAAAATTAGACCAAACGATGAAAATGAGAATGCTATACTTTTTATGCTTTTTTTTTGTTGTTTTTATAAATCTAAAACGTGTTTGAACCGAAAGAGTAGGTTGATTCTATGTCGACAAGAGGGAAAAAAAAATAGTAAAAGAAAAAAGTGAGAGGTAATCACAATTACGAATGTGCAGTTCATACTACCAACTTTGGTACTAAATTTACTTAATAATTTCACCTCTAATCACAATTGTGTAATTTATCATTTGCTTTGGCGTGCCAATTGTAAGTTGTAGGACCCAAAATTGGTACGAAATCAGTAAATCTACTTAATAATTTCCACCCCTAATCACATTTGACATCAAATCTAACTTGTGAGACCCACTTTTGTTGCTGAATTCTAGTTCTCGGGTTATGGGACCCGACCGGTTGATGAAAGCAGATTGAAATTAGATACTTTAACCCACCGAGATATTTAACATATAACATCTACTAGGAAATTTTTACAAACAAAAATAAAAAGTTAAATTTGTTAATCAATTTTTTCTGGTTTTTATTTGTTCATTTTTACAAATTATTTAAATAAATCTGAGAAACAAAAAACTACCTTAAGCATTAAAACCTTTGAAGTCTAGTAAATAACTCAAGAATTAAAAAAAAAAATTACATAGGTATTAGCTGATCTTACAATTGAGTTCATTACCGTTTTTGTGTTTATTTTGACAAAAAAAATCGATATGTGATATAATGAGTTTCTAATTAATCGCAATCACTCTCGCACTAAGTGAAAAGATCTATATATATATTTCGTTTTCCAAGTACTCGCGGTCACTGGTCATAGTCGTAGGACTCAACATATGCTTCAAAGTCCAAACGTGTCATATTGTGTTAAGAGGATGCCAAATCCACGTCTCAACTCAAATATGAAATATCTACTTTCTCAATTGTCATTTTATAATCCCATAAAATACCAGCAAATATTAAAACACAACTTTCTACGTGTGATCTATGTCCCATCAAATATCAATGAGACAATGTCAAAATTAGTGTTCAGCCAAATATCGCTTTATTAACTGTAAAAGTTGCAAAGGAAACTTAAAAATCACAAAATCGAATGAAATTTTAGACGAGACCATGCAACATGCTATAGTTCCGGATTAAGAAGAATGTAGGATCTCAATCTAAAACGTCTTAGTTAAAAAAATGGTATTTCTTTTTTTTTTTTATGAAAACATTAAAACTCCTAAAGATAAAAAAAAAACCTATTCAACAAAAGCAGAAACTCATTATCTATAACCTAAACTTAAATATAACTATACTTTCAATTAAACTTGATATAGTTCTAATTCAAGCTTAAATTTGCATGTTCTTTCATATTTATATTTCAACACCACACTTTAATTACAATATAATCCCTTAACTGATTCCTAAATCCAGAGAACAAAAAAATTTCAAATATAATATGGGTTCCTATGGTTCGAACTAGAGTTCTTTCTTATACTAAAATGGTTTTGTGATGGTAAAGCTGTCCTCCACATTGCTTTTAATTAGGGTTTACCATATATACATATATTAAACCTCTATAAATTAATACTCTATAAATTAATAATTACTATAAAATAATAAATTTTATCGATCACAGAAAAATAGAAAAATTCATCAAATTCAATAAAATAAAAAGATAATAATTTCTTTTGAAATTCCTATATAAATATATGATCCCAACAAAAACATAAATTAATAACTATATAAATTTACGCACATATATGTAATATTTTATACTAAAATATGATAAATATTTTTTTTTTTACTTAAAGTTGAAATTTTATTGGTGTTCATCTTTATACTTATTCTTTTATTATTATTTTTATATACATTCAAATTTGTGAAAAAATTTTGATGTGATAATTGATTTTCTTACATGTAAATGTTTACAAATGTATTGTTATATTATCTTCAATTTCATCTTTTTGATAATAGTCACGGTTTCTTATAAATTTTGAACTTGTAAACATGTATATTTTAAATAGACAAATTAATATATAATTATGTTATGATAATTATGTTTATTAATCATAATTTTTAATAAAATATTTGCTTAAATTCTTAAATATAACATTATTTAAAAAAAATTAGAAGACTATAAGCGAAAACCATATTATAATTACTAATTTGTAGATAAATGAATATCACAATAAATTAATAAAATTTCATGGTTCCAATATTATTAATTTATAGAAGTTATGTAGAAGTTATATATATATATATATATATGGTTACAAAAAAAACTAAAATCTTGATTTCTTAAGGCAATTCATCTTCCATCAAGACAACAATATATATGCAGTTTTAATGAATAAAAGAGTGCAACTTCACATCTTTCACACTCTAGTTTCATGTTTGAATATGTCAAGTCTTTATTCTCCATGAATACATATTTGAGGGGGAGTATTTTCATATATGAAAAATTCATAAAATGCAGTTTTTTTATAATTCACTATTTTTCTCTTCACGTTTTACTCTCTAATTCTTTATCCAAAAAATTTAGACCCTTTAACCAAAAATATGACAAATTCAATAAAATGCAGTTTTACTTTTATAATTCACTATCTTTCTCTTCACGTTTTACTCTCTAGTTCTTCATCCAATAGATATTTTAATATTTATACAACTTTCCCCTAAATTCATTGTGCTCGCCGCTTGTGATACTACTATATATGTAAGAAGTTTACTACATTAGATAAAATATCCCATGAACATATAAAACTTAAGATAAAACATTTTTTGACAAACAATATGAAATATTGCTCCTACGTCTTTAGAATCGAAAGAGACGACCATAGCTAGTTGAATCGATGTTCAGAAATGTTTCCTTAAAACCCACTTAACGCAACAAATTGCATAAGGTGTAGTTAATTTAATTTCTTATAAATACTAAATAACTATACGAAAAAAACTCACCAGAGTCAATCCAAATTGCTATTAAATATATATGTTTGAATATAGTAAATTTGATATAAGTAAAGTCACTATCAAATTTTGTTGTTGTTATACATTGTTCCGATCATTTTCATATGTTTCTTCGTTCATTCTAGGGTTAACAGACCGTACCAACTATTTATATTGGTTCGATATCATTACTATGATTTCCTACAATAACTTCTAAATTTTGTGTTGGTGACTTAAACTACAAAAATCGGAAATCATAAAAATATAACAAATTTGAAGTCAAAAAGAGTGACATAAACACGTGTTTGACTGCTTCACATAGGACCTCCCGTACCGTTTTATGTGACTCCTTCGTCCTTCCTATTGTATTTTCATGCACTTCTTTAATTATTAATTCCGTTTTATCTTATTCGAAGTCAAATCATATATTTCCAAGATTCATAAGGCTAAAACAGATGTTTTTTAATTGTTAATGGTTTGGCTTAGCGATGGTAAAGGCTTATATTATCCTCCTTTTTTTGGGTAAAAGCTTAACGTAGGTCCCGTACTCTTTTTTTTGGTAAAGGCTTAAACGGATGTTATGATTTGAGTAGGAGAAATCTTTAAATCATTTGTAACTAATCGTAATACGGAAGAACACGCCTACATAGAAACTGTTGATGTGGCAACTGGAAACAAGTGCTTGTTTCTCACTTCCATCTCCTTAAACAAAAACTGGAGAAGTATACACTAAGTTGGTTGTAGAACGTAAAACAAGGCATATATAACCTTCTTTCTGATGAGAAACAAGTTAATGTTTCTTGCAATGTAAAAGAATATAATCTATATACTATACTAAAAATCTGTGTACTATGCTTTGTTCAAATTTATGTGTAATCTATGCGTGTAATCACGCCTTCTCTACAGGCCGGACCTGTTAAAATTTTACAAAATTATCATGGATTTGTTAGAACTTATTAAAAAGTAGGACTTATCTTCGGTGGTCAATTATAATAAGGGTCACAAATGCGTGTAAGTTCATTACTTTCACAGTTTCACTTCAGAGACACAAAAATAATTTTTGTTCACCTCGAATTGGAATTGAATCCATAATTCATCATAATAAAGTAGCTCGTTGCTAAAAAATTGTTCTCTCGTCCACAGTAGAGCATCATTTTTTGTCCAGAATATATATCACAAAACACAAGTCATAACTAAAAATATATACTCCATGGAAATCACTATAACATTTATCATTATATAAAACCAAAGCCAAGTTCATAATCCACACAACATCTAATTCAAGCACAACAAAATGACCCTGAACATAAAACCATAATATGTCATTCGGATTCGTAATCCGATTCGTCATCGGATTCGTCATCGGAGTCAGACTCTTCCAGTTCCCTCTTGGTGACCATTAACTTTCTTTTTTCTCTTTTTTTGACCATGAACTTTCGTTTTAGATAATCCAGCTTACAATCATCTGGAAGTGCATAGAATATGCCTCGTGAACCCTCGTCTTTCGCTAACAATTCTATAGATTCCCAGTAAAGGGGGCTCCTACGAACCAATCCCTTAACCTCACCCACTCGCTTAACAACGAGGGCCATTCGATCTTCAATCGATAGTTTGGATGTGTAACTTGCATGAGCCGCTACGCTTGACTTAGACGCCATGTTTGATACAAAATCTGCATGTTTATCAAAATCGAAAGATATTAGTTTACAAAGAAACCAGACTATCACATCAAAGTTAATGTAAAAGAGGTTGAATGTGTTTGAAATATTAAAATGGATAGATCTGGTTCTGGAGACAATAACTTAAATCTCAAACAAAAGAAGTGATCAGCAACGCAAGATGTGAATGATAGTGAAGTGAAGCGGGAAGTGAGATTACAGTTATAAATTTACGAAAATGGAGGATTCGAGAAAAGACGCCATGCATGCATGCGCGCTCATCGGAAAGTGTACGCCGATCGTTTCGACCAATCACAAATTAGTATTATTAATTATTTTCTATGTGGGTCAAAACTGTCATTCATTACAGTACTTCATTTGTTTCGATATTAATTAATAAAGTCATTTTTAGAGAATTGTAAATGCCATATCTAAGTTCTCTCTCTCCCGAAAACAAGGATCATATATGTAATATGTCAGTACTAGTTTCCACTGATATCTTAATAATTTCACAGGACTTTCCAGTTGTCTTTAAACTCATTCTTCTTGATAGATTTATATATGATTCTTGGTTGTCATCAGGTTGGATAATCTATTGAGATCAATTGTCTAATGGTTTTATGTCTTATTCTTAAAAGACAGAACTAACTAATATGCACAAAACTCATTGCCCAAATTATAGTTAACTGACTATCACAATGTATACTTAATGCTCACACTGGTTTTTCTATATCATCGAGATATCTTCCACGAGATTATGAAGTCACTCAGCTTCTTTTACTTTATCTAATGTTATATGAACTTAGATTTCATGGTCAATGTGATAAAAAAAAGTTTGTTTGAAAAAATTTCACGATATTATTGTATCGCTGAGACATAGCCACTTGTGGACTATATGCTTCTCTGATGTATTATTCAACTAGCAATAATATTCTTTTTAAGAAATTCATAACTCAACCAAGGAAAATCCGTTGAGTTATGAAATTATATATGATGGAGCCACAAAGAATAAAAGTATCCCACCATATTAGTATGTTGAAACTGAACTATCTAACAGAAACGATGGTTTTAACTTTTAAGTTGTACCAAACGTAGTCTTTCAATGGACTAGTTTGCTGCATAACCTTTCTTTCTGACGAAAACAAATGTAATTTGCATGAATTTTTCAAATCTAGATCAGCCACTTATATATTGTGGAGAAATTCAACTTATTTTTTGAGGCCATTGATTAGGACTGAACAAGCATTGGAGTACCATATGATCTTGGACTCTTGGCATTAGCGTATACAAAGTGTTTGTACCAATACTTTTTACATTTTAATGCCGGAGCTATATGCACTCCAATGTTTAACTCAATCCCAAACACTGTTTTGTTTGGGGGAGAATTAGAGTTTCTTTAATTGTCTTTATCTTTATTATAAAAAATTAATTAATTTTAACCCGTGCATCCGCACGGAAATTTTTCATTTTTTATTTCTAATATAATTTTTCTAATAAAATTTATTTTTGTTATTTTTTTTAATTCAAGAACTTTGTTATCATATTTAACTTTGAATAGTATAGATTTATCTATTAAGTATAATAAGAATATGAATTAATTAAGTATATATTGATTTATAATGTTAATTATGAACTTTGTTATTATGTAAATTTAGATTTACACATAAACAATTTATACATCTATGAATTAGCTAACCCGTCCGTTTAGTTATCTCAAATCATTTTTTAATATCTTATATGTTTTGACAAACTAATCTGTATAAGACTGTTATTATAAATGTATAACTTTAACTTGCTCTATCATATTATTGTAAAATATAAAAATTTACCAATATTAAATATTTGATGTTTTAGACGGATTGATTATGATAAACAATACAATAAGATATTTGTTTACCATTTGTGCTATTATAAAAATATTATTTAAATTCAAAATTTTAAATTAAATCTAACATGTATTTAAGGAATTCTAAAGTAATTAAAATTATTATATTTTTTGAATTTTAAATTAAATTAAATCTAAATTTTCGTGATTAAATTTAATTTATAAAAAAATTGAATAATTTAAAATTTAAATTAATATTTAAGGAAATCTAACAATATCTAAATTAGTAACCAATTTTTAAAATTAATTATAATATAAAATAAAATGTATAAAAAAAGTTTAGGGATGTTTGGAAACAGACACTAAAAGTGCTTCTGTTTTAATAGAATAGATGATTAGTCCATTGTCAATTGGAGAACATATCATATACATGTTTATATTTATTTTTTTCAGGAGGATTAATTGTATTAAGGTGGAAAAATTTGGTAAAATTCAGCAACCACAACTTCATAGTATATATAATAAAACATATTACAGATAAGGGTTTCTCTCGTAATAGAGTTAAAGTAGTTCTTAGATAGATCATTACTCCAAATTGACCAATGTAAAATAACATTCTTCTACTCGTTAGATAAGTCGAAGCATTTGGGCTTGGGCTTCTATTCTTTTTTAGCCCACTTCGATAAGTGTACATAAAATACCCACACTTGTGAATACTGTTTAAATAACCTTTTTTTAACATCTACTTTTATTATTAGATAGAAAACAGGTGATACATAGGTTCATTAATTATATTGGAGAAATTTGCTACAATAACCCTAAAAATATTAGAAATAGCCAAAATAACATACTAATATTTTTCAAAAATTTTAGAAGATATTTTCCTATATTACCCATAATAAATTTCTCTTTGCCCAAATTAAAATAATTAGAAAAACATATTTAAGGAAACTTTTAAAAATGAAAAATTTATTTAAGGAAATCAAATCAGCAATAATAAAACAAACATTAAATACAAATCAATTATTTTATTAAGAAGAAAACTTCTTTATTTGAGAAAATACAATAATGTGAAGTCTACTATGTTTTGGTAGACTTTTCAAGTCTGCATGTTTCGACATACAATAAAAATTCTATAAATTAATACTCGATAAATTAATAACACTATAAATTAATAATTTTTCATAGTTCCAAATTGAACCAGTTTAAAATATGACACAATTCGATAAGATAATAAGATAATAACTTTAACAAAACTTCTATGTAAATTTATGGTCCTATTAATATCATAAAAAATCTAATTTTAAACATATATATGAGATAATCTACTAAAATACGAATATAGTGATGCTTTTTATTCATTTTAAATTAAAATCTTTTTGAAACTCATCTTAAATTTTAGAATTTTTTTTTTAAAATTATATAATCTTTTTAAAATTAATAAAAAATAAAAAATAATTTTTTCTTTGAAATCTATAAATTAATAACTCTATAAATTAATAAAATATCAAAGTCTCAACATTATTAATTTATAGAGTTTTTACTGTATTTCATAGGTAGATTTACCTTAAGTTTTCAAACAATTGATAGACTTGCATAAAGTCTATTAGTTTTTTGCAGACTTCAATAACCAATCATGCAGACTCATATTAAATCTGCATATATTTGGTAGACACTCGAGAAGTCTAAAGAATTTCGGTGGATTTCAATACTCAATTCTATAGACTTATATTTAATCCAAAATTATTCGGCATATTTTTCGTAAAGTCTATAAATTTTGGTAGACTTCAAAATTTGATAACGCAGAGTGATTTGAAATCTGGAGATACTCTGCGTTATCAGACTTCAAAATTTTGGTAGACTGCAAACTTTCATGAAGTTTATAAGTTTTGACAGACTTTAAAAATCTATCTTGCAGATTTACTTTCGATTTCAACAGACTTATATGAAATTTACAATCTTCTGACACACTTTAAAATTCAAGTCAGCTGACTTACGTTAGATCTGCATATATTTGGTAGACTTGCTTAAAGTCTTCGTGTTTTTGACAGATTTGAAGATTCTATCCATAGACTTGTCTAAAGTCTGCTAGATGAGATTTTCAAGTCTACTAAACATAAGTCTACGAGATCGCCTATTTAAATTTTTCAAAAATATTTACAAATAAACATAGACAAAATATGAGTCTCTGTAATCATAATCTAAAGTCACTTATATACTTTATGCAAGTCTGCTGATTAATTATAATTATTTTTTATGAAATCATGTCTAATTAATCACATTAATATGTGTGTTGGTTATGTATATTGTTTGTTAGTTTAACAGAAAATTTAAGTTTACTACTGTTAAAATTCTAACATTTCTTAATTATCCACGTAGGCTTGAGTGTATATTTATATATTTTTGTGTTCTTTTTTTTTGTTTTTATAATTAAATTTTAAAAAGCTTCTGATTGGTGTAGAAGTTATTTTCCTAGTTTAACTTACGAAGTTTTTTTTCTCCAAAAAATGTTTCAAGTATGGACCTGATATTAGTCATAACCAGCTTATGATATTCATCAGAGAAGTGATTCAAAAGAAAAATACTAAAATCATATTAGGTCATCTGGTGCAATTGACCCAGGTGAAATTCAATTTTTTTATAAATATTTGTATTTTTTATGTAAAAACTAGATATAATATTAATAATTTAGCTAAATGACTCCTGTAAAATTTGTTTAAAATACATTATAAATTAAAATTGACTCCGTAAATTTTTTTTCTAGCTCCGCCACTGGATGTAGTACTAATTTTCGTTTAAAAATAATTATTTAATATAAACGTTTCTGAAAACAAAATTATAAAAATAGAAAGGGTAATTTTAGAATTATAGATTTATTTAAAGAATTAGTAGGTTATGTGAGTAATAATATATTAGAGGGGTTATTATAGCTATTTCCAAAAAAATGTAGGTTATTATAGATAATTTTCTATCGATGATATTCGTATTTATAAAAGTTCTTATGTACATTGATCGATAATTCTTTTTTCTGTTAATAATTAATTGTAAAACCTTGCATAGGGCCACTAGAAACTTGATAGTAGGCAATATGGGAAAACACATTCACCTTGATTTCAGTGATCAAAGCATTTAAAATCTTGTTTAGCTAACAAAATGCAATTTAATTATCTTTTCAAGTCCTCCTTTACATAAGTAATTTACCAACTCTATTATATATTCCAATGCTTAGAAAGTATGTACTTTAATCACCGATTATTTCCAATGTACAACTAATATGAAAATCACGAGAGAAAAAAGAAAAGAAAAAAGAAGCATTCAAAAAGCGTATGCGCCTCTAAATATTTCACGGACCCAAAATTAAAAGCCTCGTCGCTTGTCAAAAAAATATATATATTCTACTACCTAAAGAAAGAAATAATAACTTAAACAAAGAAAATGAAACTGAAACAGTATATCATCACTACATTATACAACTCGTAAATTTATTACAATTTGATTATACGTAGCTAAGTTATTACATACATAAGAAACACATCAGATATGTCTGGCTTTCTTAATTTTGTTACATAGAGATGCTGAATGAAACATACAATCAATCTCTCTAGAAACATTCAGAATGATCATTCTCCTGCTTCTATAAGAGTTTCTAACCTTCAAACTTCTCGACGGGACTCCCTTAGGTTTCCTCGGCGCCGGCGGACAAATATTTGGAATCGCCGGGAGAATTTGGTCGTGGCGTGTTGGAGTCTTACAGAAATCTTCTTCTTCTTTCTCTTCTTCTTCTTCCTTCTTTACCCTTACTCCTTTTCCGAGTGAACAATTTGTTGATTCTTGGGATTTAGTTTCAAGATCTTGATCTTGCCGTGATTCTTGAACGCTCCGGTCTGAAAACCCTAGAGAGGGTACACGAAGGAACCCTAGCTCCGTTTCGCAGAGGTTGTTTTGATCGGAGAGACAAATTCCAGCGTCCGAGAAACCCATCTTTCAGAAGAAACGTAGCTCAAACGTAAAAGGGAAGAGAATGAAATAGTTTTGATGAGTGATGTGAGAGAGGGAGAGAGAAAGAGAGAGAGAGAGAGTTTATGGCTTTTTTGGTGGCTTAATTTGCTTTATATAATGGTAATACTATGTAGAAACATGTTTAAAGTAATTGTGTATTTGTAAAATAAATAAATTTGAGAACATTCGGGGTTTTAGTTATATGTTGAAGGATCCGATGCAACAAATATACTTTATGTAAGGTTGCTTTTTTATATAGTAAGCTTTTCGTCAAACTTGGTTAATCTTGAAACCAATCACATGTTTCCCGCATTTTAAGAACACATTTTGATTTAAGATGCAGAAGATTATTTAATCAAATAATCAAACCGTATTTAGTAGCAAAGAAAATAAAAATGATATTTTGTGAATAAGAATAACAAACCTCATTTAAATTTAATACCAATTTTTAAAATTTATGTTTCAAATCCTCCAAAAAATTTTGTCTGAAATTCGTAGAAATTTTTGACAAATTTCTAACAAATATTAATTTCTAACGATTTAAAACTGACGAAATTTTTTGGTGAAATAACTGTTACTTCCAAAATTTTGATGAAATTGCATGTGCATTAGACATTAACTATTTCTTGTAGCGTTTATGTTCTGATCTCCTACTAAAAAAAACCGACATTAAACTATAAATAAACTCATGTAAAAAAATTTAAAAAAAAATTCTATGCGTCTAATTCTCATATTGAATTGTTGAAGTTGTTTTTCAACCAAATAAATCAAAATAGCAAAAGATATATAAGAATTGTGTAAAGATAAAGAATGCTTGAAAGCGTATTGACATGGAAACGGGAAAAGGCCAGTTTTGTTGGTTGAAAAGAAAAAGGTCAATTACTTTCCTTTATTCATAAGCTAAAAGAAATTATTGAATTTAGTGTCCAAAGTAAGATAGCACGTCTCTTTCATCTTATTCAATTTTGGTTAAATCATCATTTCCTAATATTCACTCTCTCTCTATCTCTCTCTGATCCTAACTTTGATGCATGCATGTGATGAACATCGATCTCCTATACCTTCTATGTTATATCACACACCCACCTATACATACACTCATACATGATACACATCACCATATCTTTAACTTAAGTGCCATTTAATTTGATCTATCATACATCCATTACCTTTTGTGTGTATATCGATTTAACTGACAAAATAAACGAATCGTTATAGTCTATACTCTATGGCGATTAAAAAACAATCCGATGACATTAAACTACACACCTAACTGACAAACATCTTAAATGTTTTTGATACAAAGTTTAGATTCTATTGACATATCTCAACAATTTGTCAATGGAAAGCAAGAAAGGTAACGAAAGTCAACACTAATAATAGATATTGTACATGTTTTGTCTCTGTTATGTATAAACTAATAACAAAACAAAACAAAATTGATGGCTAGATATCTAATCGGATTGTCCGATTTTATTAGATTAAGATGTGTAATATTGTCTTTTAACAAAACCCCAACGCATGTGTTTCTTTTTTTCAAAATAACAAAAGGCATGGGAGACAAGAAATTCAGCTCCGAAATATTTTAAACAAAATAACTAAAGCAATACTCCTACTATTTTTTTAGTACATTTAAAAGTAGTGATGATTTGTGTTATACTTGGTAGAAAAAGTTTGTTTTCTTTTTCGAGTTTATAAAGGCTCTACTTCCAAAAAGTAAATAGATCCAAGATTTCTTCACGTAGATAGAAACGTTCAATCAAATCACGGGAGAATCTTGGTAATACTAACCGGACAAAAATAACAACATAATCCAAATTCATTACAAATAAAAGGGAAAATAATAAATAAACTTGTATTGATTTGAAATTAATCCAATTTGATTTTATGTTAAGAAAATATCTTAGTAAGATGCGCTTAATAACGTGCCTTAGCACACAAAGGAGAAAGAAAAAAAATATGTGAAATGGTGGCACCAAATGCGTTTGTTAGATTTGTTGAAGATCACATTATTTATCACCATCTACCACCAAAAAGTATATCACTTTTTTCATCACTGTTTTTAAATTAAAGAGAATCTTAAATCTAAATTCTCAGGATTCTTTTACAAAGTTATCCCAATCAACAACTGATGTTAAGCAGATAATTAATTTAACTTCTTGTTCAGATAAAAAGATGAAATAGCTGATAATTTATCCACTTTTACCAGTGAAAAATGGGAAAAACAAAAGTTAAGCATACACTCTCATGGAGCATAATTGAATTATATCTCATGCTCAATCATTTTGCCTCCCATTTTCTATTTCCTCCTTCTACCCTTCTATTTTTCTTCTTGTGGTTTCTAGTTTCAATTTCAGTAATTACAATCATTGACTACTAATAATGTAGTTTTGGCCGCACATATATCTCTATGGACAGCTAAAGATCATTACATAATCTTGTCTTCTTCATACATGATATTTGTCCAAGAACTTATTATAATGTTTATATTAATTTGTTTTATTCCAAGGAATTTACACAATTCACATCACAACGCCTTAACAAACAAACAAAAAGGCATCACATCACAGCCCATACAACTGTTTTGGCAGTTACATTTTAATTATCTTAATATCAACCCATGTATTCATTGTTCTATATCAATCTTTTTACAAATACGATCTTATTTTTGTAATACTAATGTTATGTAATTTTTCAAGTTTTGAAAACGTGATTCAAAAGCATATTATCAAAATAATAAAAATAAATAATAAAAAAAAATTAATAAGTTACTTTTCAATCTATCTCACATGTTTTAAATTTATAATTAGTTTATACAACACTTTGTTCATCTAATAAATAATAATTTTGTGGCATCTTAAATTTATTTAATTTTAACTCTTTTTTATCCTATTAATTTTACTATTTTATTATTTAGCTATTTCAATATTCGGCTACTCAGATGATATACAAATTAAATACTTAAATGGCTTTGGATACATTGTTGTTAATACTTATACCCAAATTTCTATTATTTTAGAGAATGTTACTGAGAGGTTGATTTATGAATATTTTTAGAGTTTAAGATTTTATGGTTATTGGTTTGTAGATTTTTTTTATTCTTAATAGAATTCACTGTTATTCGTAAAAAGATTTTAAAAATTCATTGTTATTAGTTTGATGATTTTTATAATTTAATCAAAATTCATTGTTATTCAAAAAGTTTGTATTTTAATGATTTTATGATTCTGTTATAATCTAGTATTATTAGAATAATGTCTTTACAATATAACTCATAAATCATGATTTTCAAAATAGTACCTATATTTTTGGATTTTCAAAGTTTGTCATATCAAATCTACTATTAAATTTACATAACTCTTTACAAGTTTTACAAATCTAACAAAACTCTTAAAGATTTAACAAATATCATGACTTTTAAAATTAATCAAAATCTTTATAAATCCAATTCTCAATAACTCTGCCTTAATTTTTTGTGTGGTCATTTAATTCTACTAGAGAGAGCCAGAGAGGACAACCAGATTTCAATTATACATTTAAGGTAAAATAATGTGTTAGAGGTAGGAATCACCGTCCCACTTATCCGCATTTCTCAAATTCTACTAAATACATTTGAAAATCTTTTATAATTCTATGTATAATGGTATTAAATCCTAAACTAAATCATGCATGTTGTCCACCAATAGAGATCAACCTTTCTATAAGTTGTTGAACCCAAACTCGTACCTTCTGATCAATTAAATTTGTTTTTTTTTTTAATTTCATCATAAATTATTTTGCAAGCAACTGTCCAATGATTCATGAATATCAATCACATTTGCAGTCTGTACTCAATAAATGAAACCTAGTACTCAAATTGTGAAAGTGAAAGAAATGTTGTAGTGGGGTTACAAAATTTAGGTGTAAGGGTAAGAAACTACTTAATAAAATCCAAGAAACTTTATTTGAGATCACATCAATGACATAACTATTTTTGAGAAATTTTCTCTTACAACTATAATATATCTGTTTATCTATATTTTTTTTCTATAGAGATTTTAGAGTAATATAATTTAAAAAATAACAAAAATGATAACTGTCTTAAGCCACACAACACAACAAAACCCGACTAAATCCGATGGATGAGAAAAGCCCTTTGGCTTTACCATCCATCGGGTTAACGAATCCAGAGTCCAAGTCCGACACTACTAGTGTCTCCTCTGATCATTGTCTATCACAGAACCATTACAAAACTCCATGACGGCATTAGCAGGAGCTCTAGTCTTAAGAATCATTTCCTCAAACTCCTCTTCAGGGTTTGATAACGCAACGATTGCTCCTCCTGCTCCAATGGAAGCTTCATCTTCATGTATCACCACTGTTCTTATCACGATATTCAGATCAAACGTGCCATTATACGAGAAATAACCGATTGAGCCAGAGTAAAGGCCTCTCGAACAGTTCTCTAGAGAATCAAGAATCTCAACGGATCTTAGTTTAGGAGCACCTGTCATTGAACCGCCAGGGAATGCTGCTCTTACACATTCCACCGGACTAATGTCTGGTTTTTTCAGTCCACGGATCGTGCTCACCATTGTGTGTACTGTTGTGTATGATTCCACGTCCATGAGGTTAGGTACATGGACTGAACCAGGCTCACATACACGGCCCAGATCATTTCTCAGAAGGTCAACAATCATTAGATTCTCGGCTTGATTCTTCTCACTGATTTAAAAGACAGAGAAAGAAAGACAGGTTAAATCAAATGTTAAAACCACGAACTGTTCAGAAACACAATTTGGCCAAGAGTTAAGCTATAGTAGAAGATGAAAACAGAGAGATATGGCACAAACGTTGGTTAAGTTAGAAAGTAGAATGTATAAGACCCACTACCATAAAATCTCAATTATAAGAATGAAAAAATGCTACGTGCTTCTTAGGAAATAGCGTAAATGGCGTAAGAGATATCATTCTATGGAGCAGCACTGTTTAGAGTTACTCTTTCTTAGGAAGGTTAAGGAGCAGCATTGTCGAGATTTTAGAACAATCCGAGACTTTCAAGATATGTAAATGCTAAAAGAATGGGAAAAACGTGTTCGGTGTACCTGAGTTTCAATTGCAGTTTAAGAAGTTCATCTTCTTCGGGTGTGGAGCCACGAGCTATAGTACCTTTAATCGGTTTTGCTTCTAGCATTCCATTTCTGTCCAACTGAAGAAACCTTTCAGGGGATGAACAGCATAAGGACAAATTTGCATTTGAAAAGTTGAGAAAAGCTGCATATGGTGCTGGATTCTTCTCTCTCAGGTGGAGATAAAGTCCCAAAGGATCAGTATTCCCTATTCTACATCTGTTCTGAGTAGTTAGACAAAGCTCGTAGCTCTCCCCGTCTTTGATATACTTTAGACAGCTCTGAACATCGTTGATATACTGCTCTCGGGGTTTGTCAGGGACAAAACTTGATTCGCATTGAGATGAATCCCTAGCAGGAACAGTTTGATCCTTCCACTTTCTTGTGGACGAAACCTTGAGGGTAATGAGCTTCTCTTCAGTATCATTCAGGAAAGAGGTTTCTGCATTGCCCTCTTCGTGAAGAGATAATACATAAACATCATCAAGTTGATGATCAATGGCGACAACATTATCTGCGAAGAAAAAACATGCATCTGGAGCCTTGGATTTGTGACGATTATTTGGCATTCCACATTCGACTTTAATATCATACCTGCAATACAAGAAAAGGTAATTAAGCATTCATACCAGCAGTCTTCATACGGTTAGGTATTAGGACCAAAAAGTACAGTAGAAACCCACTTATGAAATAGGCTTAGATAGAGAGATTCACAGTCTAAATGATTTAACACGTACCCAATACAACCTACGTATCCACCGCAAAAATCAAAAGGTAACCCTTCGAAGTCCTTCTCATCATAGGAGATAGATGAAAGCTCCTAATAAGAATACAGTTTGAGTAACTTTTCATGGTTTCACAGCAGAAAATATATCAAACTCCAAGATTGTTAATATTATGCCTTAAATGGTCCACTAGACCAGCTATGTCGTAAATTTACCAGAGTAAGTCCATACTAGAGTAAAGTCTTTTGACAAACCTTACGAAGAAAATCAAGAAAGCCTTCTTCCAAGAATCGTTTCTCAGTAGAACCGTGAGCATCTTCAATCAGAAGGTGTCCAGCATGTTTAGATTTACTCTCGCTGAAAAACACAAAGTCATAAGTTCAAAGTTTCAGTTCCCGTGATACGATACATCACTGTGAGGCAAATCTCAGCCATATCAATATAGTTGCATGATGACCAAAGCACATAGGTACAGTAAGAAAATTTGCAGGTGGAAGGGTTATGGCGCTCAAGTAATAAAAAGAACATAAACCTTTATGCCGATAGAGAAAGAGTAGGTCATGCGTAAAACCTTTGATCAGATAAACTAAATGTCAACTGCTTCCAGAGGGATCCACCTTTACCGCCCATGAAAGAAAATCGCCCTCTAGCCTAGAACAATGTAATTGAAAGAAACATTCATTAGAGTAAAAACCTTGTCACGAGCAACAACAATACCAGCAACAATTGCAACTTCAGGAGACTAGACTACTAACCTTGTCACTAGAAGAAGTATCCAGCCAAAAAGCATCCTTCCCTTGAGTCTTGCCAAAGAGTTCCACGAACATATTTCTTGCTCCACCAACTTTATGTGCAAAACGTTCAAGCTTCTTCCATTTTAACCTCAGGAATTTTGCATGAGGTTTTGGGTATGATAAATCCACCAGATCGAAGACGTCTACACCATTTGCCTTGGCAGTAAACAGCGACTTCTTAAGGCTCCCATTATAGCTAGAACCATTTACTGTACTTCTAGTTCTGGAAAGTTCTTTCAGCAATTGACTGGCACCAGGCACCTGCATGTTTGCTAAAAAATATTTATTATTCAGGAGAAGCTCCGAGACAGTTAATTATGAAGTAACGCCACAGAACACTAAAACATAAAACGAGGTCTCCGAATGGAAAAACAGATGAGAGAAGCTGAAATGACAATCTAACCATTAAGCTCACCCGTATCATTTATGCTTCTTCGAACCAAGGATGGAGACTCGCAGCGACTCCAATAATCCACAGTTATGTCTTTGAAATTCTTGAATATTTGACTTCCATAGGTGGTAGCAATACTCTCTGGATGAAACTGAAAGTAAAATGTATATCAAAGACAGCAGAACAATGAAGGAAACTTAGTCCAAATATGATCTCTAATAAACACCAAACCTGTAAACCATAATGGGGAAATGTAGAGTGCATGATGCCCATGAGAATGTATCTATTTTGTTTTCCAGCAGCTTGGGACGAAGTCCGATGACTTTGACTTTCCAACTTCTCTGAATTAGAATTGACAGATCCGTCCCCTACTCGGCTCCCAGTGTTATTCCCAGGAACACAAAACTTCTTCTCGGAGAAAGAACCAGTGTCATTATAAATCGTCCACGCAATTGGTACAAGTTCCTTTGGCAGTGATTCCCTATCTATGATCAGCGAATGGTATCTAACAACCTGAAAATTTGAATCCCCCACACAAGTTTGTACTTTGTATCTAAGGAGATCAATGACTGTTGCATGTAAAAAAAAGTAGATGACCTGCCTTGAAATCAGAGGCTCTCCCGGATGGAATATCAGAAAACAATATGTTCCCATCATGTTCAATCCCACTACATGAGGTAGATGGAAATCGTTAGTAGAGTATCTAGCAGACACTGAAGAGATATGACCAATTATCAACATTTCAGTCGACAAAAATTCATTTCAGGAAAAAAGAAGCTTATTATTAGAAGACAGAGTATTCGAAAAAGTCATGCATAGTGAAATCACAACATTCCTCATACCTCAACCGTCCATGGACTGGTTCTGGGGCATGCACCACTTGAGCTCCATGAACATAACCCAGTGCCTGTAAAATCATGTTGCCTTGGTTTACATAAGTTCAGAGAGAGATAAACTCCTCATTTTCATGACAATGTAGGACGTAAGACCCAAAATGCTCAGAAATATTCGGAAGTGCTGTCATCTTTTATGAAGATAGGAGTACCTGGTGGCCAAGGCAGACACCTAGAATTGGAATATCACGACATTCAAGCAAAAGACGAAGACATATTCCTGCAGAGCCAAAGTGATGTTTAAGAAAATACAAACAAAGGTGGGTTTACAATGGCAGATAACGCAAAAAATCAAGAAATACTGGCTCATACCTATATCAGCTGGGCACATCGGCGAACCAGGTCCAGGCGATATTACAATATTATCGAAAGCAACATCTTCATATAAGTAACGGTAAGCTTCTTCCCACGTCCACTCATCATTTCGAATAACTACAGGAGGCACTACACATGATACAACAACTGGAATGAAAAACGCATAATCTATGCAAACTGTATAGCGACTAACAGAGAGAGAGACAGAGGAGATGAAGTTACCTCCATTAATAGTAGTCAGTGCCTGATATATATTGAATGTATAACTATCATAATTATCAATTAACAAAGTCCTCACAAAGCCAAGCTTTTCTACAGGCTCTCTTCTTGGTAGACTCTTCTTACTCTTAGCAATCGACAAATCTTCCAAGTGCCTTGGCACAACATGTCTTGACGAAAAAACCTTACTCGTAGGACGACAAGGTAAACTGGTGTATTTTTTCTTCCAGTTCTCATCAAACCTAACCAATTCACGAGAGAACAACCGGCTTGCGACCGAGAATCTCAGAACATTGTCACTTGGATATGAAATCAACGAAAAATTCATGGTCATAGCTCCTGCCAAAAGGGAAGAGACACAGAGTGTTTTTAAACAATGATAAAGAAAAAGGATGTCAAAGGGAAGAACACAATGATTCTGCCTCACATCAATTTAGGAGTAATCAGTGCTGGTTTCTGAGAAGTATGTGTCACTGAACCGGAATTAGGGTTCCTAAATCAACTAATCCCATAGCTTAAAAACTTCAATTTCCTAAACATCAGTCTCTACAACACAGTGAGTTTCGATTCCCAATCCAAAACTTGTACAATTACATCCATGAAAGGTGGCGAAAATGGAACTGGAATCTTTAAGCAAAATCGATCTCTCTACTTAATCCCTCCTAATGATTTGAAATCAACAATAGAAAACAGTTCATTGGAGGGAAAATCAGAGATGAGAAAATGAAAGAGAGCTTACGCTTAGAGACGAGGGACGAAGACTGGGGGATTCGAGAGCACGAATCGGTCTGAAGAAGAAATATGGAAGAAGCTTTGCTTGCTTGCTCGGGAGGATTGATTGAATGGTGCGCAGAGCGAGGAGGAAGAAAGAACAAAGAGCTTATTATAACTGTATGAAGAAAAATGGCGAATCTCTTACCACCTTTTAAATTATTTAACAAAAAGAAAGAGAGATTGAGAAAAGCAATTTTTACAAAATAATTACTACTAGTAGATATCAATGATTAGACCAAAATTATATAATTTGACTAATTTTATCTACTAAATTTAAACTAAATTAATTTCTGTAAGGTATATGTGTTTATCAGTTAGGCCCTATAGGTAAAATTAAATACTATAAGGTATATGTGTTTATCACTATAGATTTGATTTTTTTTGTCCTAGATTTATTTTGAAATTTAAACATTAAGAGGGATCACAAATATTTATACATGTTAAGTAAAAGTGGATCATAATTTTTTCTATTATATCAAGGGAACAAATAAATTATATAAATTAGAGAAAAATTATCTCTTTAATTTTCTTTTTTAGCATAACAAGCTTCCAAGTCCTTAATTTATCTACACTTATATGAAGTTTCCAACTCCATACCAACTTTTTATTTATGCAAAAGAATCCTAACTAGTCTCTCATTCAGAAGAACTTTGGTCTTTGTTGGTCCGTGTGTCTTAAGCTAGACCATAGACTTCATACAATCTTTATTTATTATTATTTTTTAAATAACATATCTACAAAAATTGATACATTTTCATTAATATTATTATATCTGCATATAAACATCTGATTAATTATCTAATTATCATTTCTTCACATTGTATTCTGACTATATGATTTCTAATTAATAAAAATAACTTTTTCGAAAAAAAATTATCATTTTTCAAAACTTAAACTCTTGAAATTACATTAAAAATCATCATTTTAGAATTTTCTAGATTGATAATGTATTTGTTATTTAAATATTTTATGGTTGATTATAATTATTTTATGTGTCATGATCATTTTCAAAAATTTATAGAAATCTGGATTTTCTTGTCATGTAAGATGTCTATGGGTGTCCAATGATTAAAATCGCGGTAAGAGGATTCGAACTCTGCCAAAGGAGGAAAATCTGATTTCTGAGTGAGTACTAGATCACCACCACAACGTTTACATTTTGCTTTTCGAAAAAAAGTTTTCCATTAAAAATTAAAATACATGAGTAACAAAGAATACAAATCCAGCCAAGACTTCAGTGTTTTGAGACTCTAGTGTTTATAGGTCTAGTCCATAGTAAATATAAATGTTAATTGTTAAACACATAACCACACCACCTATAGATTTGAATTTGTTCATGGTAATGACGTTGACCAAAAAAGGTTAATTTTCCAAGTATCCGATTGTTTTCAACTTAATGTACATCTCTACATGAAAATGAAGATTGGCTGGATTTGAGAAATGTACAAGGGGCACTTAAAACAGAAAGATCCAAATTTTGTGTTGCCTGAATTGGTGGAAACAGGACAGAAACAGAAAGAGAGGCCACGATTTGGCGGGAAGTAAGAGAGTTAAGTGAAGAGAGTTTTTGAACCATAAATGGAACAAGAGTAGATAGCTTCTTTAACTCTCTCTCTCTCTCTCTCTCTCTCTCTCTCTCTCTCTCTCTCTCTCTCTCTCTCAAATTCATATCCACCACTTCCTCTTCTTCCTCTTCTTCCTCTTCCCACATTTACTTCTCTATTCCATTACAGTTAGGAGTTGGAAGACACATAACTACTACTTCAATAGCTTGCATTGACCAATAAGCCAAGGGTTTCCACAAATATCGAAATCTATACAAATCGTCTTAAATTCTAAGTCAAAGAGTTGGTTTTAAAGACTAGGATTCCTCGTTGAATATGTACATTTATGAAGTGAACCAAAAAACAATCAAAACAGATAGATAAAATCATGACTTGTGAGACTTGTGTTTAATGAGACTTGTATGTTTTATATCAGCGGCAAAACTTTGTTTCTTACTGTTTATTAACATAATACAATACATAACTGCATAATCTTCCCCTGAGTTTCTGAGGTTTTAGATTCGATGAGTTTCATTTTGTTCAAGACTTAAACTCAAACTCAACACTTAGAGTTTTTCTCTATGTTCATATATGGTTTTTGTTTATAACTTTATACACAAGATTTCCACATTCTTCCTTCTAAAGAGATCACTACAATGGAAACATCATCGTGGTACCGTCTCCGTTCCCCTTGTGGTATCTCAAGCAGTTCATGAAAATCCATACCTGAAAAAGATCAATAACAAAAGATTTTAATATTGATTTTTCATCAGACTCAATGCTTTGAATCAAAGCTCTTCTCATCAGAATTTTTCCGATAGATTACCAGCTTTCTTGGCAGCACGGAAAAGAAGTTCTTGAACCAAGTGTTGAGCCGGGTCACCTTCGGGCTGTAACGTGATGAATAGCTCGACCTCTGAAACCGCTTCTTCATTTGTAAAGTATTGGTAGAGACCATCAGATGATAGAATCAGAAACCTGTCTTTTGATCCTAATCTATGATGGTAAAGCGATGGCAAACAATTGATGTAAGGAGACGTCCCTTTGTAATCGATTTGAAACATTTCAAGAAGCGCATTATTCCATCTAGGCTGCAAAAGATTTGTATCCACAAAGTTCAATTTAGATCCAATCCAAGAAAAGCAGAGCAGAATTGATATCGCCAAGAATGTTAAGTACCTGCTTGAGGAAACCGGCGCCAAAAGCTCTTGTGACCTTCAATGAACCTTTAACTCGTTCATTAGACACTGCACTAGCATCATCTGGATGCTCCTTTCTTATTCTATCAACTTCCTGAACAACAAAAACCGGACTCATCAACCAAAAACATCACAAAATCACTCGATAAAACACGCGTAAAATGCTATGCGACATAGTTCTTTACCTCTTCTACGTTTGTGCTATGATCAACAGTAAGTTGAAAAGCCGATAAATTCGGAACCAAACTAGCTCGTTCTCCTTCGCAACCACCATCGAAATCATTCATCGTTTCTTCGTTGATTCGTTCCAAATCTTGTCTTATCTTCCCTAACCAATAATCCGTCTCTCCTTTTTGCCCAAGCACTGCTCTACTATCTCCCACATTCATCAAGTAAACATCTTCACCTTTCATCAACATCACCAGAACACAAGAACCCATCAAAGCTAGTTCAGGATTTTCGTCGAGCATCATATCTGCATTCTCCAGATAAGCTTCCTCCGTCTTCCTTAGAGCTTCTGATAAAGCCGTTAAAACGTCCGAAGAGTCCGGATCCGACGACCCGGTACTTCTCCGATGGATCTTATCCTTTAATAAACGGTCAAGATCGAGCCTTTCTCGATCCCATTCGCATCTCCACCGTCGTTGACTTTCCTCCCATTTCCTTGACTTCCGATCGTCGTTCTTTGACTTTTTCTCCGAGCTCGAATCGCAGTTTCCGCTCGGACAAGGATTGTTGTTACTGTCTTGATCAACGCAGCCAAAGGAAGAGTCTTGAGGATTTGATTCGATTTTGGGATCGTCCCATAGCAATCCCTTGAGCTCACGATGAACAGCTGGGTATAAATGTGAGAGGAGATAATCCGGCGCATCTGGACCGTTGAATCCATCGTAGATCCCGACGAAGAGCCATCCGTGTTCTTCCGATACGACGACGTGTACACGATCCTCACCGGCTTTCCCTTGGGCCCACTGAAGATTCTGGCTTTCGAGCGAAACGTCGTCGTCTAGGCTTCCTTCGCTACTGAAATTCAAGCTATTCACGGTGAGATTCTCGTTGTGGTTGTGGTGCTGGTGCTGCTGATTCCGGGTTTTATCCGACCCGAATACCCAATCGGGTTCTTTAACCGTTTTAATCGGAGCCACGATCGAGTTCTGTCCTCGGTTAATCGTCTTCGAGATCGCTCGACGGAGAACCCGGACTAAAGCTTCTTTTCTTGACCCGACCCGAGTGGCTAAACCATGAGAGAAGCTACGCTGGAATTGATCGGATTCAGGACCGATTTTATCAAGCGGACCGGAGAATAAACCTAAACCATCAAGCGGACCGGACATGAATCCTCTCTCAATCGGACCGGAGAGAAATCCTCTTTCTAACGGACCCGACCCGGGAACAATCGGACCGGAGCTCCTCGGGATCGGCTGCAAAGGGATCGACGAAAACGACGTCGTGCAATCGAACGCGGCGGCTCTGTCGATGTGTCCGTACGGATCGTAGAGAGAGGTAGAGAGCGGAGTGGCGGCGTTTGCGCTCACTGATGCACCGGAGATCGTACGAAACGTCGTCGTCGTCGTATCTTCCTCTGAGTGAACTTTAGAAGACGAAATCCGGGTCGGGTCGGGTCGGACGTAACAGAAGGAGTGGCCTAAACCTTCGTCGAGAGGATCCGGTTCCATAATCTTCATCTCTTTTCTCCGGCGAGTTTCTCCTTCGCCGGTGAAACATTTACTCAGCTTCGTAATTCCGTTACCCATCTTAAAAACCAATACTTTTTTGTTTCTTTTGAAAAATCTGAGGATTTCAGAATAACAGTGACGAGTTTAGAGAAATTTTGAAGGTTTAGATTACAATTGAAGTTGTTCATCCATGGTAGAGGCAGAGGTTGAAGAAGATGAGAGAGAGAGAGAGAAAGAGTTGACTTCTGTGCAAGGAAAATGATTTTTTGAGTGGAAATTATAAAGGAAAAGAGAATATAAGAAGAAGAAAAAATACTCATATATCAGAGATATTATAATATTATTATTCTGTTTTTTGTGTGTTAAATCTAAAAAGGAAAAAAATTGATGAAGCTGAGAGAAACAAAAAATAAATAAATAAAATTGTTTTTAATTTAATTATATCCACCGAGCTCTCTCGACGCGAAGAGGGTTGACTCGTGGCTAAGGCAAGGAGTAGAGTTTTAACTCAGGAGGTTTTTTGAAACGTGTGTCTACTGTTCACTCTCGTAAACAAGCGCGTTAAACTCACGCGTTCAATCGAATAACCGTTTAAAGTTGATTTTTTTGGTTGGGTCAGTCAAGAAATGACTCAAATTCAAATAGTTGGAGAATTTTCTTTACTTTCGTGCAAGTTGAATTTGTAATTTAAGCATGTTCATATGTAGAGTATAGTAAACAAATATTTGAAATAATTATTTAATGGGTATATACACGCGCGTGGGATTGAAGTTGAACTGGCCAGTTTAAGGATTAAAAAACTCAAAGCTGTGGAAAATTTATAAAGGCTCATTAAGGAAAGGAGGAGATTTCAGGGATTTAGACTTTTTTTTTTTTTGTGAAACAATTGAAAATCTCTGATAGTCAAAGAGCCACAGTTTCCTTCAGACAAACTCTTTTTTTTTTTGCTCTTCAAATTACACAATTCTTCTTCGAAAGTTGTGCCATCGATCACCGTTGGATCTCGTAATGGTCTGAGAATGTGCCACGTGTCAATCGATCACTGACTCTTCCGTTATTATTTCATAAATTCTCGTCAACTCTTATGATGCCTCTTCGGTTCTTGCCCGCTGCTTAACCATCACTCTATCTCTCTCCTATGTCACAAATATTAAAATTTTGGACTTTTTTTCTTAAATTATGTTTTTTTTTCAACTAAAAACTTGAAATGTTAATGCTATTATTTAATGCTAAGTGTTTGTTTGTTAGTTATATGAGTCTAATGTTAATTTTCAATTTCCGGAGTGGGTGTGGGTGGTATATTTATATATTGTAGTTGGAGGTTGTGATAATTACTATTCTAAATCACGCCAGCAGGACTCGAATGGTGGAATCATTTCCTTTAGTTTGCGATTTGATTGGAAGTAGACTAAAAAGAAGTAGTTTTTTCATAAATTTTGCATATAGACAATAGTAGACTTTTATTTTCAGTACATAGTAGCTATTTGGATTTCGAGTAGAGTACGTAAATATTAACTTGACTATGTAAACTTACAACCCGAGAGAAAATTATAATTTAATTCGATGATTATAAAATTGGAGTCTTTGTTCGATATTGTTAGGATATCAATTTAAATTTCCCATTGCAATTTTAGATAAAACTGATCTAATATATAGATTCAACCTCTAATAGTATAATACAATTTAGAAAAGAGTCTAAAAAACAAATATTCATGCAGGTTTTGCCTCCTTAACTTAATTCAGATAAAATCATACTAATAAAGAATTAGACATAAATAGGTTTGAAAACCCAAAAGTTATTTTGAATTCACATATATTAAATCCAAATTTTAATTTTACAGAAAAAATCTGATGCAATTTTTAAATGAATTAATTGAAGATGAATTTGGCAAATACGTTACACATATTTACCAAAAAAAAACAATCCGTTACGAATCCGTCAAAATTAAAAAGAAAAGTAGAATCTACAATTTCGTTGAGAATCCATTTCATTTTGAGATTCTTTACACATTTGGTTCATATCTTTCCAAGTGTTGAATTATGGTTTACAGTTTTGTTTGTCGTTAATTAAAAAGTAGATTTATTATAAATTTCACGTGGATTTGGCTAACACGTTCACGAATTTGTCACAAATCCATTTAGTTTTGATAAAAAGACTAAAAAAAACGAAAATTGTCAATTTTAATGTAAACTCATTAAAATCAAGGATTCGAGACATAAATTCTCTCAAATTTAGCTCAATTTTTTTTTTTAAATTGAACTTTTGCGTTCAGAGTTTGTTTCAAAATTAACTCAGAATTAAACACATTAACTTTTAATTAAGTTGAGATGAATTGTAATGTATTGAGCAAATTCACATAAATTTGTTTTAATGCGTAAATTTTAACAACATAAATTATAATTTAAAAAAAATTTATGATGATATGTATTTAAAAATATATATCACATAGTTTCAAAAATTACTAGTTCGATTTATTTGTAGGATTTTTCAAAGACTCAAAACTTGATTGTTACAATATTCAGAATCTTTGCAACATATTTTCGTATCAAATCCATGGAAGATCTTTTCTATATAATCTTCTTCTGTTTTCTATCTTTTTTTCAATTAGATCGGTGAAGAAAAAGAAGACAAAAGATACTTAGTTAAGTTTTCTTTTATCTATACTATTAAAAGAGAAAGGTATTTTGTATCCAAACAAGTTTTAATTAGTTTTTTACTATTCTGATTTTGGATAATTTCTATTTATGTTACCAAACAAGTCAATTTAATATAATATTAATAAAATAATTTATATTTTAATTTATATTTTAAAATAAATTTTAAATTTTAAATTTGAATTTAGATTTGTTATAAATTTTTTTAAATTTAGGTTATATTATTTATCAAAAATTATAAAATAAGTTATTATTATATTTTTACAAAAATAATAAATCTGATATCAATTAAGATTTAATTTACATATTCAAATTCAAATAATATTTCAATGACAAAGATAAAAATAATATATTACTATATATTTTTATTAAATAAGTATAAAACTTTTAATATTCAAACTTAAAAAATATATAAAATATAAAAATAATATGAATGAACAGGTTATAATTATGTTTTAATAACTATGATTCTTTTCGGATTAATATAAATAGACATGTTATAATAACGTTTTTATAATCGTTGTACTTATTATATTAATATAAACGGACGAAATAGAATAATGTTTCTTTAATCACAGTCATTTATATACTAGAAAAAATTAATTAATAGAAACAAAATATATATAAACAGAAAAAATATTTATCATTTATTAGAAAATTATGTATAAAAAACAAAAACATAAAATATATTACAAAATTTGATAAATTACAAATATTTCCCTTGCGGATGCACGAGATAAAATCTAGTTTAGTTTAAAATTAGAAAAATATTATATATACAATTTTTTCTGATGCTACTTTTTGGTTTTTCGAGAATATTATTTTTATATATATATTTATAAGATTTTTTATAAAATACAAATAAATATATACGTTTACTACTTGAATATTAAAATATTTATAGTTTTCAAAGTTTTTAAAGAGAAGAATACAAAACAGTATAATGTTTGTATTGTTTAATAACATGTCTATAAGTTTTTTATAGGGTAGTTATGGAATGGAGAAAATTATAAACAATCATAAACGATGTTATACTACAGAAACTTTGTACACATTTCATAATATATTTTATGAAATTATTTCTTGAAAATATTTTTTTTTAGTGGTATTTGAAAAAAAAAAAACAGGGTATCATAAATATAGTATTTCTAAAATCCTTTATTTTGATTTGAATAAATAAATATATTAAATTTCATAAGCATTCTAAAAATTATTTTAGTTAAAATTTATAAATATATTTTTTAAATGGAATTATGATGGCAACCGCCGCACATATGCAATGCAACTAATAATATGTTGTGACTAGTTCTCAGATTTTAAAGTTTATCAAAATATAAGAAATAAGTAAATTTTGAAACTAAAATAAATTTCATATCAAATAACATTTCAATTTTTAAGATGGATTGGCGATAAAGCCATCTCAAATTAATTTTGTCAGAAATCTATCTTCACAACAAATTGCGATGAAATTAAATCTGTGATTAGAAAATCAAGACTGATTTATCTACCGCAAAATCTCTATTTAGTGGTTTGCAGAAAATATTTTTATGAATTAAAAATTTCAATCAAAGAAAACTTGAATTTTTTTTTTGCTAGAATATTATGTTCCTACTCTTTTTATGTGATATTTCTAAGAGATTGCTATTAGTGTTTTTTTTTGTCCTGAAAAGTTAAGTTTGGTATTAATGATCAAGACTTAATCACTTAAATAGTATCTTAGACGTTGCCTTATCAACACATTATGGCTTTTAATCCAAGCTAGATTAATTAAGAACTCCCTATCTAATCCACTTTTTTTCTTTTCTTATGTATCATTTGAAAAATGCAGAGCTAGATGCAGAGACCATGACCAATCTCACCATCTACCTCTGCATTTTTTTCTAACCAGAAGATGTGGAAATTGAAGATCAAGACATAGCCACAACATGAATCTATAAATAGATATGTTGATTAGTCTTCAATATTGGTTGAGCTGTTGCAATATAGGAAACGGTGTCAAATTGTCTTATAGAAAAATGAGAAGGTAATCCACAAATGATGCATGCGACGAGTGCAAGCAAATAATTGAGAATGATTTATCCTTTGGTGTCTTGTGGAAATGTTTTAACTCACTAATTAATTCTCAAATTGCTTTGGTAATAATCAAGATCTATGATCCTTAACTACTGCGCCTTTAAGAGTTAAAATAAACTAGTATACACGTGGTAACTCAGGGGCAAGTTTCAAGGATGAAGAAAGAGTCAAATACATTTATCATAACTAATAGTAAGACATACAGAAAACAAATAAGGAAGAGTGGGTCTCTCTTTCTAAATAATTGCGTTCATACTTCAAATACAAAATAAGAACGATAATTTTATATTTAAACTTGTTGACAAAAAAAAATACATGAAAGGATAAGTGGAAACATATCCAACTTGCGCATTTGCTTTAGATTAATTTAAAGAAAAAGCATATTAGGTTTTAAGGTTTAGATTTTTGTAAGATAGTAGTTAATTTACATAAATTAATGTTGATTTCAACTTTATTAATCATTTATCTTAATAACAGTTGATAATTCAAGGTCCATCATCATTTGTAATATTGCAAGTGGAGAACCCTCCATTCCCTCGCCATGTATAAATATTATTATACTTGCCCATTTTAAATGTCATCATGATAACATTTTTTCATTAGTATATAGCTTAATTTGAAAATACCAATTCATGTATTCAAACCTTAGAAAATCCCTGGATGTTCTGGAAAATACAATTATTGATGCAGATGGAAAAAAGTCAATGCTATAAATTTTAACCTCTCGATTGTATTCGGATTTGAATTAATTTTAGAAAACATGCAGAACAAGATATGCATGTAAATATATAACACTAAGGTTATATTCTAACTTCTTAAATTTTCGTACCATTGGAGACGGGTAAGAGAACACTAAATTATTAATCATACGAGTCAAATTACTTACCGAAAAGAATTATTACAAAATACGAAGAAGGTAAGAAACTAAAAATTTTAAAAATATAAAATAAAGACTACTTGTTGCATCATTGACCTTGAAAAATATTCGGAGAAACAAAAGAGTTAAATTACTAATTTGCTTCATAATAATTTTGACTTTATGAATGAATTAAATTATAATAAATTGGATTAGTGGCCCTTAATGGTGGGGATTAGTTCGTGAGAATAATAAAGAGAAGTGGGTCTTTTATGTCAGTTTATGATTTGGTGGATCTTACGGCTTTGCTGGCACTAAAGTATTGTTGTCTTGACTCATCTTCAACCCACTTCTGCAGTTCACCTATTATGGAAGTATATGTAATATACATGTTACTCTCCTAAATTCGGAATTATTATTACGTTTAGTTTTTCTCTCACGTCGTCATTATTAGATATACGAATATTACATGGATATTTTTGATATATATATAGCCACCTTGATTTCTACTAGAGCTAAAGAGATTTTTACAAATATTAATAGATACTTTTTCAAAAGAGTATTATGATTAGTCATTTTTAGAAAATTTCTTCTGGAAAAATGGACTTCTTTCATAATTTATTTAAAATAAAAACTAGAACCCTAATATAACCTTATATATAGACTCAAGGAAAAAATTATACTATCGCAAAAATGCGTTAATGTCTTGAAATTGTAAAAAAATCTTACTTTCACAATACGTACCCTTTTTAAGTGCTCTTTCTGTAGTTAATTTATAGATGATGACAAACTTAAGATCTAGAAACCTATGAATTTTGTGAATCCATTGGACTGTCCATATCTATTGGGATATATAAGTATTATTGTTTACCTCTTCGGAATGCATGAAATGACATTTGCATTGTAGACAACGAGATTAACTTGTAATGATATCATTTAAACTCACAATATTGGTTGAATGAGAAGTATTGCTTGAGTGGTGGAAAGTAGTAGATGACTTTTTTTGGTACAAGAAAATAAAACTTATGATTATTGATAGGAGAGAGAGAGGGAGGGGGGAGTGAGAGAGTGAGAGAGAGAGAGTGAGAGATGGTAGCCATTAAGCAAACACAAGTCCATAAGAATTTGTTGCAGACAGCATTGTCACTTTCATCATCTCCACTACCATTTTCTCCACTACTTACATACTTACAGTAAACACACATCAAGACACTCTTACAACAACAACTACTCACATTTTCTTATGTATATAGTCTTACAGCAATAACTATTCCAAAAAGAAATATGTGACAATGTGTGTGAAGAAATACAATGGGAAAGACATATCTTAGACAAACCGGCTTTACCTACACCACACGGTAAGTTTACCTCCACTAATTTATATAACTTATATTTTGGGGAATCGAACTCCAAAACATGTGAAGCATTAGGTAAAGATTTGGTCAACTAGTATACAAAATGAGGTTTCACATTTGCATTACTCCACTAGAAGCCGATATTTGTTAAGCCCATTCCACTGTCTTTTCGTTATTTTCTAAAGAGGATGATACAACACTTGCCCATTTTGTAGCAGAAATTAGGTAGAGACTTCGATATTAAGGTCCAACATTGAAGACTTCATTGACTATTGGGCCTTATTATTGAAGTAATGAACAAGATTCCTTTTGACTATAATGATATACATAGTTAAGCACACTTCGAAAAACTCGTTATCTACTTTACGCAAACTCCAACCACCAAACATGGAGAACAGAGTAATAAACAAGATTCCTTTGGAGTGAGCCAGAGAGTTTACAAGAAACCACAAAGCCATTGCTAATGACATTATTAACGTTCATGAGACTCAAATGTGTTACATTCCAAACGCTAACATTTTCTTTATTGGAAAATAAACAAAGCAATCCACCATAAGGACCAGATTTTGGAACCAAATTGGTCCTAAAAGGAAAGATTGAAATCTCAGTAGAAATAATGATTGTTAAGGAAATGAGACGCGGTTGCAAGTCCACCACCCATAATGGCATCAACCACGATCGTGTCTTTGCCTTTGTTACTAGCCGCAGAGATCACTGCTCCTGTTGCTGCGCCTGCCAACATTGCGTTTTTCTGATACAAAAGTCTCATCCAAATTAGTCTTCAAAACCTCATTAGCAAAAAGTAAAGAGTGTGAATGTAAATATGAAAATGTAGTTACCCAATCTCTGGTGCCACGGATACGTTCGATTCCATACTCTGTTCCAACATAAACTCCAGCCACAGATCCTGATCATAATCATACTTTGCCAACTTCAAATTCCATCCTAAAAGTCTACAACATTGAATGATTTTAGGAGAAATCAACTTACCCCAGTAAACACCTTCTTTGCACATTTTCTTAAGCTGCAACAATGTTTAGCAGAGTTTCAAACTACATACATAAACACACACACACATACACACACATAGACACATATGTAAAGAGATTATCCATTGGTACTCACCGCATGCTCAAGAGTGCTCTTAGAGAGACTCCCTACAAAATTAGTAAAAATCCATAATCAAAAAACCAAAACTTTGCAACTCTCATCAACACAAAATCAGGCAATAATAATAAAGTACAAACACAGATCCACCAATGTGTGTAAATGAGTCAACTTTACATCATGAACACGCGAATTTTTGGTAAAGTTGAGAGCTTTATGGTTTTTGCTTTACCTTTGTCGATGGCTTTGTAAGTGTCTTCTGCAAGAGATTTAGTGACTCCAACCTGAACCATGAGTGAGATCAGTTTACTGTAATAAAACTCAAAAAAATTAGAAAATGAGCCATTAATGAAAGAAGGAGAGAGAAATGTTACAGCTCCGATCTTGAGGAAAGAATCGACGGTGAGGTTGAGAAAAGGATGGCCCATGTCGACAGCCACCGAAACCTTCGGCGTGCTCACAGTTCCGGAGAAAGTGCTTGAAGGCATCGTTTCTTCTTCTTCTTCTTCCTCTTCCTCTGTGTGCTTTTTTCTCGTTCTGGGATCTTTTTTTTGTTGGATTTTTTTTTTTCTGAAACTATTTCACCTATTTTCTTGGGATTTATAAAAAATTTCAAAGGTTGGATATTTCATTTAACTTTTGGTTCAACGGTGGAGAAGAGACTAACAGAGGACCCACGAGGAGATATGAAAAATTGAGCAATGAAAATTCGAGCTCATTTAAAAGACGAAAATACCCTCACTGAGCCAAACGCCAAAAAAACAATTCACGAGGCTTGTGATCTTCTCCACAAACGACAGTTGCCGACTTCACAGCTTTTTCCTCATTGCCGACTTCTAATAGCAATAAACTTAAAAATCGGAACTTTACAAACAACAATCAAAATCTTAACTCAATCTTGAAGCAACAAGAGTTAAAAGACTCACAATTAACACCACTTTCTTAACAGTAATACATTCTTGAAACAAACAGACCACAAGACACTCCAACACGATATCAAATCCCATAAGCTGAGTTTTTTCATCATTCAGCATTGTACATAGACTGATATAGAAAGATAAATGGAGAGTGAAAATGGCAAATGAAGCAAATTAAAAAACCGGTCTTTTACTTTTTCAGTCTTTCCTGTGATGGCGTTTCCTGCTCTTCTTCTCAGACCGCTTAGAAGAACCTCTTCCAACGCGAGAAACATCATCTCCTGAAACATCAGAGTCAGAAGAAGCTGCAACTTTGTTCCTCCGCTTCTGTCTTCTACTACCACTTGCATCATCCTCAGAGGAATCTGAATCAGATGAGTCAGAATAATCACGCCTGCTTCTCCTTCTCCTCTTCTCCTTTCTACTCTTTCTCTTCACTCGTCTTCGGTCATCAGAAGACTCATCAGAATCATCATCATCATCATCATCTCTCTTCCTCCCTCTCCTCTCCTTTCTTCTCTTACTCCTTCCTTCTTCCTCATCCTCAGACTCACTCAAACTCCTCCTCTTATGCACTCTCCGCTTCTTCGACCTCCGTCTTCTCTTCCTCTCCCCTGAATCAGAATCAGATTCATCATCATCGGAAACACGCTTCTTCTTCTCCTTCTTCTTCTTATTCCTCAGAGAAGAAGAACTCGTCGTCTTCTTTACACTCTTCTTCCCATACCTCTCAGCTATAATCTTCTCCATCTCAGAATCAACATCAGAATCAGAACTCTCACTCTCCTCTTCCTCTTCACTACTCTCTTCCTCCTTCACCTCACCTCTACCAACACGGCTTCGAATCTTCTCTAACCCCGACATAACAGCAGCTTCAATCGCAGCAGGATCTTTCTCCTTATCCTCCTTAGTGCTCAAAAAGTTCCTACACTGAAACGTCAAGTGCCCAACACGGCCACACTTCTTACACGACCCACGAGCCTCATCATTGTTCGATCCAGTGATACGAGCAAGAGCCAAAAGTCCCTGAAAGCTCGCGTACGAGTTCTCGGGATCGTCGGATTTCTGCTGAGTCGTCTTCGGCTCCTCTTTGCTCGTCGGTGCGTAAGGATCGTAACCAATCGCACTCTGCCATATCCCGTGAGTCTGAAGCGCCGCACTACTATGAACACGGTTGTTCGCTGGCATACGAACTCTTCCTGCGGTGGCCGGCATCTTCACGAAACCCTAGAATTCAATCTCAAAACCCTAAAGAAGCAGATAGATAGCTACTCAGATCAATATCTCCGCAATAGAATTCAATCGATTATCCAGATTCAACAGAGACCTAGGGTTTTTTTTAATACAATTCTGCCGATTCAAAGCGATAGATCCTAGGGTTCCAAAATGGAAATCAAATTGAGTGAAAGAGAAGATTAAATCGCTTACCAGATCCGATTGAAGAAGCGTCGGAGAGAGAGATGAAGCTCCGGTGATCGAATGAGAAAGAGGCCAAAAGGGAAGAAGGCAAAGTCTGAGGGGCAAATGATAAAACGTCGGGAAATAATTGGAAACTTTTAGAACCGACTTCAGCTTTTGTAATTTTACATTTACACCCTAAACTTCTTGTGTATTTCAAAATTTAACCCTGTGGATTTAGTTAATTTCATAGTGGGGGTTTGGAATTTGGGTAAATGGTTTGATTTTATAAATTCGGGCTTCAAATTGTTTTTATTGGGCTTTAATAGGACAGATCCAACACCAATTAATTAAAGAAAAATAATACGTAATCAAAATCATTATCAAAGAGTAACTGACAGAAACTCCAGAATAGTTTTTTTTTTCGGTACTGTCCAGATTAATTAAACAAACAAAACTGCGCATTAAGCTTAATTTTAAATTTCAGTTAGTTTGTGTAGAAAATACACATTAAATCTTAACCTTAATCTTATTAACCTCTTAATTAACAAGTAATGAGCTAGAATATCCTTCGCTTAATCCCTCCCGCCTCCTTTCTCTCCGCAAAACTACAACTAAATATGGTTAATCAGTTTTTAAAATTTTTAATTAAACAGTTCATCACACTCTTCGAGATTAATCACTAAAAATCATAATCTGTATATAAGAGATCAATGTTAAATCTCAAAATTCCATCAATCAATTTCACGAAAACAAAAAAATCCCTTAATTCAGTTTTGCAAATTTGCAATTTATTAAAAATATTCGAAAATGGGATCAAATTGCTGTGGGGATTACGTCGCTGCTTCGCCAGAGATGGCAGTGACAGAGAGCGAATCAATCGCGTTGAGGCTTCTCTGCGTCGTCTTCATCGTTCTCTTTTATGGCTCGATTTTTCTTCTCTGCTTCGTGATGTACCCGAAGGTGCCGAAAGAAGCAATCAGTGACGAGGAATCCGGCGATCCATTGCCGCCGGCTGTTAGACTCACGCAGAAAGGCGTGAAATGTAGCGACGGCGGCGATGGTGACGGGATCAGAGCAGATTTATGCGTTATTTGTTTGGAGAATTTCGAAGTAAACGACGTCGTTAGGGTTCTTGTGGGATGTAAGCATGTGTTTCATGTGCAGTGTATAGACTCGTGGTGTTTCTATAAGCTGACGTGTCCGGTTTGCAGAGCACCGTTCCAGTGGTTCAGTGATTGGTAAGAGGCAAGGATAGAGAAGTTTTAGGATTTAAATGTTCGGTACGATCCAGTTTAATCCCGATTTCAATTTTTTTACGTTTTTGGGATTTAAGAATTCAAGGGGATCTTTTAAGTTTTTGATCCGATCCTTGATCGTGACGTATGTGTATGTATTGGGAATGTTAATTATAGTAGTGAATAATACGGCTTAAGAGTGTATATATTGGGAATGTTAATTATAATAGTGAATAATACAGGTTAAGGTTTTGTTATTGTGGTCTAGTACAAAATATAAAAATAACTAGACCCAAAAAAAGTTCATTTAAACCAAGAGGTTGTAATAAAGTGGTTTTTTTTTGTGGAAGATTTGACTCTGTATATCTAGGCTATAAATTGTATTTCTTTGGATGCAGAATTATCATATTAACTTTTGACCATCTAACTATCTGGGTTGCTACTGAGCTTACATGAAAAAAATATTAAGTCTAAAGATATTAGTTTGGATCCGAATGGTCTGAGATTTATCTCCGAATATATATAAAAAATAATTTATAATTCATTAAATTTGATTTGTTAAATCACGTAACTAACTTAATAATGTGATTTAAAATAATTTATCGGAAAAAGCATAAAAATCCAACATCTATTTTTGTTCTAAAGTTCAAATTAAAATATATGTGTAAATAAAGGATAAAATCAAAGAGATAAAAATTAAATCTAATAGTTTAGAGGTGAATGAAATGATGATCGTAAGAAAAAATAAAAAGAGAAATGTTCTTTTACGTGACTAATGGTTTTTATTCAGCATTAAATAGTATAGTCTAAAGATTTTATAATAGTGTTGTTATTGAGTCGATGATACCTATAACACCATATTTAGTTAGCAAGTTAATTATATGTATACACTTGCCTAATTATTGGTCTAGCCTAATTCTCCCCTACAAGAAAGGGGGACTACGTTTCTAATTTAATTCACTCTATATAAAATCGTCTTTGGTAATTCAAAAACTATCTAAAACAGAGTACACATCAAAACACAGAGCAGAGGAAAAGAGAAAACACGCTGCGTGTTACTAACTAATGTTATGTATAAGCCAAAAACTCAATTACACTTGATCACTAAAAAAACCTTTTAATACTTCTAAGGTTTTTTCCATGCTTTCTAAGTCTATCGATTATCGGCTATTTTTCCCCTGTTACTTTGACTTTCTCATAGTGTTCTTCTCATTGACCTTGTTCCTTGATGACCACTATCTCTATCATTTAATATTATTTTGAACTATGGTTACTGACGACGATAACTCTCCTCGTGACACTGATGACAGCTTGTGTTTTCGACAAGATCAAAGGCACGAGTCAATATGAGGGAATGATCCGTATGGACTACGCTAGTTCTACTCATATAACTGAAGAAAATAAAAATTTATAGGAAAAATCATCCAAATACTATTTTTTATTTTTGGTAAAAATCCAAATACTATTTTGCATGAGAATGAGTGGAATCTAGTGGTAATCATTTGCATAAATTCCACTTTTTCACACTATAAAGTATAAACTATATATCTTTCTTTCTTCTAAACTAACATATCCAGAAAAAATTCTTAAAATCTACATCGGTTCAATTTGCATGGAAAGCTCAATGCTAGACTCAACAATTTAGTTTGGTTCGGTTTTTATGACAATGGGTCTGGTCCTCATATGATGCACGTTTTTGGAACATTGGTATACTTAGCCCTTGAAAACACACGAACATGAAGAACCACGACCAGTGGGTCCCATAATGAAAATTTAAAGGGGTCAATATGTTATATGGTGCAAAAGAAGAATTTAACATTGTGCATTTGATGTTTTTGTTAAATATTACTAAGGAATTTCAAGATTTAACCGGTGTCAGCTGACCCCATCTTACTATGTGAGTCCGCCTCTGGTCACGACCGTTAGCTACCGATGTTTTCGGGATGATCGATGATGGAGTAACATATAGTAGTTTACTTGCAGAATTGTTTGTTTGGTTTATAACTAGTGTCTAAACGAATAATGTTTTCCTGAGATAGTTGAGAGCTGAAGTTTTGTCGTAGACAACTTCTTAGTGTTGAAGGTCGTATCATACAAGTCATGGGATCGATAACTATATAGGAGGCACCAAAACGCTCTTCCTATGGGTGCAAATGGTTCTAGATAAATAAAAATAGTGAAAATTGATCCTAGGCCAGGATCGAGCTCTCCATGAGATTGATAGTAAATTGTTACAAAAAAAACTTTATTTTAAGAAGTTAACTATGACTAAATATAAAATGATGATAGATTTAATTGGTGATAATAAAATAATTATTTTATCAACAAGAAATTATTTAAGCTATTGATATTATTTGTGTGTGTCATATGAGTTATGACATATGTTATATATATATATATATATTTTAGAGAATATCATAGTCAATAATTTTATTGATTATTCTGTTAGTTATAATTTTTTTGTATACGTTATTATTAATGCCAATTTCTCTTGGCCCTTTTGTCTTAAATATGTTTTACCTAACAATTATTTTTTGATAAGATAATACGTCACAATAAAGACTAAAGAGAAAAACAGAAACTCCCTACCTAATTTGCCTCCAAATTATTTTGATTTCGGCGTTGACTTTTGTATAAACGAAACTACCAAAGTACATGTGAACCGTACGGATAAAGGACATCATCTGAATTTTGAAGAGTACATACTGTTCTTCGCTGACATCATAAACCAGTTTTGACACTTACTCCCTCAATTTGTTTGACTTCTCATTACAAGATAATGTTTTTTTTTTTGGTGAATGACATATTTATTTTTCTCTTTCTCAATTATTATTTCCTTCTTAACAACCTCCCTTGTTTCTAGATGATATCCTACTTGAATACACCATCAAAGTACTGGTATGCTGTGTTAAGTTTGATGATACGATGATTTATAAAATGAAGATTTGACTTTCTATTGACATTTTTTCCTACATCCTATGTTTAAATAGAGAAGATACTATTATAATAGGAACTATTTATGAGTCATTGTAAATGTAGTCGGATAGTAGTTGGATCTAATAAAATGGTGAGTAGTTTCTTGTAAAGACTGACAACTTTTCTGTTAAAAAGAATTAACATTTCTATTAAGTTGAATTTGTTTTAAACTAAAAACAAAAAAAAAATAATTTTAAAAGGAGTAATTATTATCACAAGGAAAAACCTAGGGTCTCACTTGTCAATTTTGTTTTAATTTTTTGACTAATACTAATATTTGACATGACTTAACTAATTTTATGGGATGTTAACAAAAGGGGTGCATTTTTTATATACCAATATAAGTAAGAGTTTATCAAATATATGTTATATCTGTCTGTGAGAATATATCGGCTATGAATTATGGTGATGTCTAGTTCATAGGATAGATAGTCAGATTATCCCACACATTCTACAGATCCGATAGGCTATATTATCAAACTGTTTCAATAGAGTTTTGGGTCAACAATATATATTTTTCCTTGAATAATCATGAGCTACAAGTAATATAATATTCGACCGTATATTATGCGATGGAAAAGGTTGAAACACCTTAAAAGTCAACAGCCGGCCATCTGCATGTGGTGGCCATTTATTTTTATTTTGCTTTATCGTTCATGGCAGCGGATACATAACGTAGTAGTATAAATTTTATATAATATTACTTAAAATATAGTTTTGGTTAGATCAATATCACAGAAATTGCTTATGATTGCAAGCTTGTTTTAGTAACCGGGTTTCAATTAATAATTAATAAGGAAAACACTAGTTAAAATTTATAAATGATTAACTAGGGATCTTTACCAAACAAAAATGATTAACTAGGGATTACACGTTAAAATAAAAACCGTTTGGCTTTAGAATATCGTCATGAATCATGATAACATAGAAAAGCAATGCTATGAAAATAGCATTCATTAAGTTTTTAATTAGTCTATCACTCTATTGCATTGCAATTCAAGACAGAAAAATATGTAGATCGACTGATTTGCCGTCATTATAATTTTATGAAGATTGGTATAACAAGAATCGGTCATACGAGAATATCTGGAAAGTGTTGTTTATATATTACTTTTAATGTTCTATGACATATAAGTGATCCCTTTTCTCGATATGATAACTCAGATTATTTATCATTCAGCACCCTAGTTGATTTATTTTATAATTCGTAAACTTGACTAAGTGTCTTAGTGAACAAAACCAGCATAACGTTTTAAAACTACTAATCAAGACTATTCAGGAAATATATAATCTGACGATCGATCACGATAGTCATAAAGATGGATTAATCAAGCATCTTCTTTAGATTGGCAAAAATGGACTAATTAAGAGCTTTAAGCTTATGCTCAACAAAACTCGCAATACCCTCTGGTTGGTTTCTTCTCCATGCATATTATAGTGTTTTTTTGTTTGGCACCAACAAAACGTACGGACCCATATACTTTGGTGCTTATATTTCTTTCAACAAAATTTGATAAACACTGCAAATTATTACCGTCTTAAATTTTAATTAATGTATTATCGTCGGTTTAATAGAACCTATGCTATGTTTTCATCTATTTGCGATTGTGAAACTTTGCATCATTAATTTATAATTGTGTATTATTTCTCTCTAACTAAACGTACCACTTAGTATATGGTACAATGAAATTTCGTTATATTTCATGACCCTTGATATACAGTATATAAAAAGGAAATTTGTTGTATTTCGTGGCCTTTAAAATTGAGCTCATGGATAATACATGGAAAACAAAACAAAAAATACATTCGGCGTAGCCTTCACCGTGAAACACATAAATGGAGATCAAATAGAACAAGTATCCTAAAGGATTATTAGCAACCAAAAAAAGCAAAAAAAGAGTATCCTAAGAACAGGTCCACTGGAGTCTTCCCGTTTTTGGACTCGAGTACATATGCAAATGTGATTAAAAATAAATAAAAAAAGCCCAAGATGGAAGACTCGGGTCTTCCGGACGAGTCCAACAACCCCGTATCCGAACCACATGGCATGTGGTGATTGGTCGCAAAAAATGGGGAAAAAAAATCTCGAAGGCTCAAAAATTTCATTTTCTCTCTTTCCCCGATTTTAGGGTTTTTTCATATCTGCGGCAATTGTGTGGGCGATTTCGTCGAACCTGTGTATTTTGTGGTTTGTATAACTCTTGTTTTACAGTTTTTCTTTGGGATTTTGTCTTTGTATAATTACCCTCTTCAATGTTATGTTGTTGAAAACTAACTATTTTTTATATAGCATTACATTTATGGTAAAGCATTAATCCCCATAGCAAGCGCTTGAATCTTGATAAAAAAACATCCCTTCGTTCTCAAGACTAAGTGTATTTTAAATTTATTTCTTAAAAAAAAAATAAAAATTTGGGATGAACCTCCATTATTGGATTCATTAATGGAACCACAAAATACATTTGGGTTCTTCCCAAACCTAAAATAAAAAAAAATTAATTTTTAAATCGGATGAACCCCATTGAGGAGTTCACCAATAGATCTGCTTTAAAGGGGTTTTTTTATTAATCATATTTGATACATTAGTTGGAAAAACGAAAATATAATATAATATAAAACTAACGTAGAGAGAATGAATAAAAATATATAAGAAATTATTTGCAAACGGGTATCTTCTTGGTTCATATAATATAGGATTTATCCCTAATAATGGCAATTGCATATATATATTGGTACTTATCACATATAGAATAGATCCGCGTCTCCCTTAATTATTCCATGAGTGAGTTGTTCTATTATTGGATTTGTTGGTCTCGTGCTAATTTGAATCAGTGTGGAGATTGCTAAAGACAATGACACAAAATCCTCTCCCAAGCTAAATGGTTTGTATTATATCCTAACAATTTTTTGTTTTCTACGTAAGAAAAAATGTACTCATTTGTACTTCTTTTCACTTGGTTCAATATATAGTCATTGTATTTATCTCCGTTACTCAGTTTCGTGATAATAATCTAATGAGATTGCACGAGACTTTTGTGCTATTAAAGTATAATGATGTTTTATTTAGATACGAAAACAAAATGTGAAAAAGGTAGATCTTTTACTGTTTTACAATGTGATGACTGACAAGAAACATGGACATTAGGTTGGATAGCTACTTAGCTAGATACTATCACGGGCATTGTTTCTTTCTTTCTAGCGAATAATACACTTTTAATTACTCTCTTTTCAAATACTAATTGACTCAAATTATTATTATTAGCCCCCTTACCACGAGCCCCTTTCGTAAATTGACTTTTTTTCTTATGATTGTATGTTCTTTTGTATTATCTCATAGAGAAATTCATTAGCCAGCTAACAATAAAAAACATATAAACTTTTTTAGATTTTGTGCAATTGAACATTTGGAATAATATTATTGGAAAATTAATGTTTTGTATAATTTCCTTCTAGAAGAGATCACAATCGGATAGACAAGGATTCGACATTTCAATCACAAACTTTTTTGTATGAAGCAATTTTTACTAGAAGAAATTAAATATTTGCACGGATTATGTGGTTGGAATTCAATTTAAAATTTATTATGTCAGAGATAAAATATATGGTCAACGGAGACATAAGTCTATATTCCTCACAAGCTCGTGTCCTTTTCTTCTTTCGTCACGGTTCGGTCTAATCCAACCCGGACAGAGAGCTTTGAATCGACCCAAAAACGAAAAATCAGAAAGGACTAATACTAATAATGGTGACGTTCCGATATAAATTTTCAAACGGGTAAATTTGTGACATTTTAACCAAAATATGACTAGTAAACTTTGGCTATTTTTCTAGTTCTGATGTTATCAGCTTGGTTTTGGATGTCGATTGTCGTTGGTTTATATCGGCGTGAAGTTTCGGCTTTTCCGACAGTTAAAAGATCTTTTCCCTAATTTGTAGCTTTATAAGATTTCCTCGGTTTTGGAGCTGTGTTTCTAAAAGTTTGTAACCTGCCAGCTTAGTTTCCATCCTATATTCTACCTTATATTCTATTCTGATAATTTCATGAAGTTTAGGAGGAAAAAAATGGTATTAAACTTTAGATTTGGTGTTGTCATATAATTTTGCAGTTTAGTTAATAATGTTAATGGCTATAAAATCCATGATATCATTTACTACTATAAAATGTCAGAAACAAATTTGAATATTGTATATACTTAGTACAGGTGGAATAGTATTAATGTCACGTACAGTTTTTCCGTTCAGTGTCACGTAAAAGTTGCTGAGAAAGCAAATGAGAAATTGCTGTAACTTTTCAGGTGCCTAGCGTGTGTAGAAACTAGAAGTATATCATGATTCTAGATACCAAGATTATCAATGTGATCAACAAAAGTCAAAACGTAATAGTATATCAGTTAATAATGTGGGTGAACATTTCATGATCCGATTGAAAAAAAAAAAAAAGAAGTTAATGTAAGTTAAAAGAGAAAAGATGATCTTAACATTTGGACCCAAAAAAAAAGAACAGAGGAAATGTAAAAAGAAATTTAAAACTTGGCAAAACCAAGCCGACATGAACCGAGCTATATTGTTTTAGTTGAAGATCCAACGGCTGAAAGCGATTAAACCGCCGTAAAAGACTGTAAGTGATTCACTTTTTCTTCTTTATTGTCAACGGAATTTACTTTTTCTTTTTTCTTGCTTATTACTAATATATTTTCGTGCTGAAAAGGTCAAAAAAGAGAAGACAAATGATAGAAAATTGAAATGGGTGGAGTTTTTATGATTTATGTGAAAGAGGTCAAGGAAAAGATATATATATATATATATGTATATATAAATTAATAGACTTTTGACAGCATCGAGTTTATGGAGACGACCACAACAACTGTTATTTTTTGTTACCATTTTAAAAACATCTTATCTTAAATTTGATAATATGATACAGTCATTTAGTGAAAACCGCTAAACTTTAAAACATTAAATATATATATATATATATATAACCGTCTTTGAGATTTTTCTAACTATAAACAAGAAAAAAAAATTGGTTCCTTAACCCATGCAAACTTTTAAGTAAATGTGCTTTCACCTATTCATAAACCACTTGGACTAACTTATACTCTAGAAAATTGGTCTCAAAAAAATATTTAACTCTTCTAAAACAAATGTTCATTAACCTGCTCAGACACACATATATAGGCTAGAAGGTTATCATGATGAATAATTCGTTTATATAGTCAAAATAATTGACAAAAACTAGAACCCTTCTCAACACCTATCTAAGATGAAACTTCGCTTATATTATATATAGTCTAGATAATTGATAGACAAATTTTAAACCGGATACAACCCGAATACTTTAAGGTTCTTTATTGAGAACAGTCCTTTTCAAATAGTTGATTTGAACACTTTTACAACTTCAATCGTTAAACCTCAATTTACCATTTTTTGTTTGTTTGTTAAACCTCATATATTGTTCTCTTTACAAAACTCATTTATCTTAAACAATGCTTCCAATGTAAAAACAAAATTGACGGAGACAGAAAAAAACAAAATTGACGTTGAATTTAAATGAAAGTATATTGCAAAAATGAAGAAAATAAAGAGATGGGTTTAAATGCGGGACCGGTCCATCATCAATGCCATCTCCCAACGCCTCTCTTTCTCTCTCTCTTTCTCAGCTACTTGCAGCAAAATTGCAAAGTATCGATAGAAACTTGTCTCTCTCTCTATTTCTTGGTTGACAAAGAAAATAAAATTTAGTTCCTTTCTCATTTTCTACTTGCTCTGTTTCTTTGATATTATAGTTTTATTATCCAGCCAAAAGAAAAACAAAAAACACTGCAAAATCTCTTTATCCTCACAGTTTAATCTTTTTCTTCCTCACCTTTTCAATTTCTATTGATAAGTTTACACCTTTTTGATCTTTGAGCTATAATATAGAAAGGGTTTTGTTTGATTCGTCACTCAAATCATGGGGATTTGCTTGAGTGCGCAGATTAAAGCTGAGAGCCCAAGTAATACAGGTACATACTTTAAAGCTTTCATTATTTACTTAAGTTATCCCAACACTGCTCATGCAAATATTGATTTTTGAATAACAAAAATTTAATTTTGAGGCTTTAAAAGTAGATTTATTTGTGTCAGCCATAAAGTAAGGTCTAAATGTTTTTTGATTTTGTTGTTCATTTATTGTTTAATCAATTCGAGGTTAGGTTTTTTGGTGGTTGGGGCATAAGGGGACTTAACTTAAAAGTTAGGCTTAATGTTTTGACAAATCTGTCTTTTTTTTTTTACTCTAATAATTTATTAATCATCTAAAACTCTTGTCTTTTTGAGTGTTTGGTTAATTCACGGCTCATCATAGTCAAGAGCAAAAGACAAGCACGAAAATGCAGATTTTTTAGATTTGTCTGATCTCTAACAACAGAAAACACTTTACTTTACAAGAAATGGGTATTTTCAAAAATGTGAAATCTAAAGTTTTTTTGTATACAAACTATTTGTTTGGTGTTTGTATAGGTGCGAGTCCAAAGTATATGAGCTCAGAGGCCAACGATACACAAAGCATGGGAAGCAAAAGCTCTTCTGTTTCCATCAGAACAAACCCTCGAACCGAAGGAGAGATCTTGCAATCTCCAAACCTCAAAAGTTTCAGCTTTGCTGAGCTTAAATTAGCAACAAGGAATTTCAGACCAGATAGTGTTCTTGGTGAAGGTGGATTCGGTTGTGTCTTTAAAGGATGGATTGATGAGCAATCTCTTTCTGCATCCAAACCGGGAACCGGTATGGTTATTGCTGTCAAAAGGCTTAACCAAGATGGTTGGCAAGGTCATCAAGAATGGCTGGTATACTTCAAAAAGCTAAATTAGTTTGATCTTTTTGAAACTTTTGATAAGATTGAAGATTGTTTCTTTATGTTTCTTTGATAATGATGTTGCAGGCGGAAGTGAATTACTTGGGACAGTTTTCTCATCCTCATCTTGTGAAACTTATCGGTTATTGCTTAGAGGATGAGCATCGTCTTCTTGTGTATGAGTTCATGCCTCGTGGAAGCTTAGAGAATCATTTATTCAGAAGTATTATCATCTCTCTCTCTATCTCCCTCTTGTCTTCTCAAGAATCTGTTCATTTGAAAATGTTTTTTTGAGTATTCAAATCTTGTTTCTTGAATTTGCAGGAGGTTCGTATTTCCAACCGTTATCTTGGACTCTCCGGTTAAAAGTTGCTCTTGGTGCTGCAAAAGGTCTAGCTTTTCTACACAGCGCAGAGACTCAAGTCATATACCGCGATTTCAAAACTTCGAATATACTTATTGACTCGGTAATATACATTTCTGTCTCTGATATGATGATAAAAGCTGTTTGAAAGTTTAAGGCTTTATGTTGAAAACCAATATACTCTTTTCTCTTTGAAACGATCACAGGATTACAATGCCAAGCTTTCTGATTTTGGATTGGCTAAAGACGGTCCAACAGGTGATAAAAGCCATGTCTCTACACGGATCATGGGTACTTACGGTTACACAGCTCCTGAGTATCTCGCGACCGGTTAGTCTACAGAAATTCTTTTTTTTTTCGTTCTATGATTTGATAACTTCTTTCTGATGTAACTTACTGACTCTTTCACTTATCCTTAGGCCATTTAACGACCAAGAGTGATGTCTATAGCTACGGTGTCGTGCTTTTGGAGTTGTTGTCTGGACGTAGAGTTCTTGACAAGAACCGTCCACCGGGAGAACAAAAGCTGGTGCAATGGGCAAGACCGTTTCTTGCAAACAAACGAAAGATATTCAAAGTTATTGATAACCGTCTCCAAGATCAATACTCAATGGAAGAAGCATGTAAAGTAGCTACTCTGGCTCTGAGATGCCTCACTTTAGAGATAAAGCTGAGGCCAAACATGACAGAGGTTGTTTCTCACCTTGAACACATCCTAACTTTGCATGAAGCTGGAGGAAGAAACATCGATAAGATCGAGAGAAGGATGCGTAGGAAAAGCGATAGTGTTGTGATCAGCCAAAAACCAAACGCAGGTTTTGCTCGGCAAACAGCTGTAGGTGGTATAGCTGCTGCTTATCCACGCCCTTCTGATTCACCTCTGTTTGTCTGAGCAAGAAACGATGAGATGTTACACTGTTTAGTTTCGGATGTACAGTTTTGCTTCTGCTTATGTACCGTTCATGGCTCATTTACAAGAGACTTGACAATTGAGATCTTTGTAGTGAGAGAATTGACTAACATAAGCATAAATGATCTCTCATGTCTTCCAACTTCAAGCTCTGTTAAATGTAAGAAACTCAAAAAGAGAACAAAGAGAGCTGTTTTCTAAACATGTATATACAAGCAAATGCACAACAAGACGATTCGGATAGTAACAAACAAGAGACTTTTTACGTTAATCTTTGGCTAAGAAGTTTATATATACAGTGAAGAAACTAACTTTACCATGTTCTAACCAGTCCCGGTGTCCAGTTTCGCCAGTCTAGCTTCGAAAGAGACTTGTTTAAGCTCATCTTATCCCTTATATCAAGAACCTTCTTCCGATATTTACTCCCTTGCTTCACCACCTCAGGCTCAGCTTCGACGATCTCTTCTGTTTCATCAGCAAGTGGAGGAGGAGCGTTCTCCCTCTCTTCATCAATGATGCTTCCAAGAACTGAAACCACTTCACTCATCCTAGGCCGAGACTTAGGCTGCTTCATTAGACATTTGTTAGCTAACGCAGCTACTCTCTGAACAGACTTCATAGAGTAGTCCCTTCCTTGGAGCCGTGGATCCACAATCGCATGGAACTTCTTTGAGTCTGATACATAAGGTTTCACCCATTCAAGAAGCTTCTGCTCCCCGCGAGGTAGGTTCCTGTCCACTGCTCGTCTTCCCGTGATCAGCTCATACAACACTACACCGAAGCTCCAAACATCGCTCTTCGCTGTCAATTTCCCTGTTTGTACATACTCTGGAGCTGCATAACCAACCGTACCTACAACCTTTTAAACAACAACAGTTTAAGAATCCAAGATAATATCTAAGAGGCTCTTAATAGTCAAAGAGAATACATACTGAAGTTGAGACATGACCAAGTCCTTCACGAGGTCCTTGCCTAGCTAATCCAAAATCCGAGAGTTTAGCACAAAACCTCTCATCAAGCAAGATGTTTGAAGACTTGAAGTCCCGGAAAATCAACTACAAGATTTAACAACAATCAAAAACCACAAAACCACCATAAACCGTTTTGAATGTGGGAAATGCAAAATAGGACTTAACCTGAAAATCCATTTCTTCATGAAGATAAGCCAAGCCTTGAGCAGCGTCTTGAGCAATCTTCAACCTAGTCATCCACGGAAGAGACACAGAAGATGATACTACTCTGCCTACAAGATGATCCTCCAAGCTTCTATTGCACATTAGCTCGTAAACTAAAAGCCTCTGCATCCCTCTCTCGTCGTCATCGGCGCAATAACCAACAAGCTTCACAAGATTTGGATGATTCACTACTCCTAGAAAATTCACCTCATTTATCCATTCATTATGCCCCTGAATACTAACCCACACCACAAAGATTACTCAAAATTTGAGCAAAGAACATCAATGGAGAATCACAAATTGGAGCAATTTAATGAAGCAGAACAGAGAAAATGAAGGAGCCATGCCTGTAAACCTTGACGATTAAGCTGTTTCACGGCGACGTTAACCTTAGAATCGAAACCATCGACGACGACGACGCCTCTATAAACGCAACCGAAGCCTCCTTCGCCGATCAAAAGAGCTCTATTGAAGCCTTTCGTAGCCAATTTCAGCTCGCCGTAGGTGAATACCTTTAGATCGTTCTCGGCGGCGATTCCACCGATCCAACGTTGACTCAGTGGCTTCGGGAAACCGAAACGCTCCGGCGAGAAACTCCAGTCCGAGTCGAACTCGGACCGGCGAGTCGGGTCGGAAGCGGTTGAAGACGCTACGCTTAAAGAACGAGCCCATGAGAGTCTCGAAGCCTTTGAAACGATGCCGTTTTCTCCTTCGTCTCCTCCTCCTCTCTTCTCGCCGTTGGTGAAGTGAAAACACTTCATCTTCTTCGTCTTCTTCCCCGAATCTCCGAATGAGTCAACAAAACAAAAAAAAAGGTTTTGCCTTTGGAGCCTTTTTTTCTTTGAGGATAGGGACAGATTAACTTATAGTCGATGACGTGGCGAGTTAAGAACCGTTTGATTTTCAAGATCTGACATTCCACGAGCTGACCTAACTTGCAACCAAAATTTTAGTTTAATGAAATAGTAGTAGTAGTTTGGGCAAAACGAGTAATAGAGACATAAATGAATATTTATTAGTTTTTGAACTTTTAAGTCACGAGGACTGAGTAGTTTGGATTAAGTCTACTTTTGTTGTATTTGTCGTTATTAATCTATTGTTGTTCTTTGTTGGCCAAGTCGATCTGTTTTTATTTTTTCTTTACCTAACTCTTAGATTAAAGTTTCAATAATTTTCTAAGAAAGTGGATAATGCTAAAGCCTAATCTATTAACAACATTGACAAAGTAGGCAGCGATTAAACGTGGGCTTTTGATGGGCTTTACTTTTGGATTTTATGAATTAGTTGTAACAAAAATGCATGAAATGAAAAAGAAGACGAACCAATAAAAAAAAAAATTAGTGAGCAAAAAGTCGCACAATTTACATTAGAACTAGTGAAATTGGTCCCAAGGAAGTTATTAACGTTGATGACAATGGTTAAGATAGCGGAAGCTAGGGTTTTTGAGATGAAATCATCATAAATTTATATGAAAACAAATTTGTAGAGCGAAAATCTAATCAAAAGTTTGTTATTGTCAAAGATTCATTAAGTGAGCAAGTTGATTTCAAGTTGTTAGAAATATTCAGAATTGCTTTCGTAATTAGATGCAATAAGCGAAATGATAAATTGATAATGCATAATTATGTAAAAGCGTTAGAAAATGATCCAAAGAATCAGTTCCAGTTATGCTAGAAAATGATCCAAAAAATAAGCGAAATGATATATAATGCATTGTAATAACGAATTAGTTAAGCTGGTTTGTAAATGATCCAAAGAATCAATTATATTTTCCGATATCGTGTTAACGAAACTGTACACTTTTATGTTATCTATCATAAAATTAGATATCAAACTTATGTTTTTCCAAACTAAAATTGATAAGTAGAAAGTTGACGTACAAGTTGGATGTTATTAGCAATGTATGTGTTGAGTATCTCATATATTATCAGAGTATGAGAATAAGTTCCTATTTGTTTGCTCATTTGTCATTTGCATCTAGATGATCCATTTAACTGATTCATTTGGATGCGTTATCTGAATGATGCAAATAACAAATGAACAAACGAACACTTAAACGAGCAAATGACAAATGAGCAATGAATCTTTATTTATTTGGTCATTTTAATCTGAAGATATATATTTTTATTTTTATGTTATAATAACAAAATTATTAAAATAATTATTTAATCTAACTATAAGTTTATAAATTTAATCGAATCTTAAACATATTAAATTTATAGTTTTACATTTTTGATAAAAATAAAATTTTGTTTTGTATAGAAAACATAATACTTGTTTATGGTAAAAAACGAAATTTTACGTTTTTGGCAAGAAAATGAGAGTTTCCGTTTTGACGAAAAACAAGATTTTACGTTTTTTACGGTAAAACAAATTTTACGCTTTTTGACGGAAAAACGAAATTTTACGCTTTTTGACAGAAAAAACAAAATTTTACGTTTTTGACAAGAAAACATGATTTTACGTTTTGACGGGAAAACAAGATTATCGTTTTTTTGAAGGGAAATCAAAATTTTACGTTTTTAATTGAAAACAAGATTTTAAGTTTTTAAAGAGAAAACGAGATTTTACGTTTTTTGATGGGAAAACGAGATTTTACGTCTTTGACGGGAAAACGAGATTTTACGTTTTTGACGGCAAAGCAAGATTTTACATTTTTTGACGGTAAAACGAGATTTTATGTTTTTGACGAGAAAACAAAATTTTATGTTTTTTTCGGGAAAACAAAATTTTATGTTTTTTTCGGGAAAACAAGATTTTAGGTTTTCTGACGGAAAAACGAGATTTTACGTTTTTGACGATAAAAGGAGATTTTATGTTTTTGACGGGAAAACAAGATTTTACGTTTTTTACGGGAAAACGGAATTTTAGGTTTTTGATGGAAAATGAGATTTTACGTTTTTTGATGATAAAACGAGACTTTATGTTTTGACGGAAAAAAACGAGATTTTAGGTTTTTGACAGAAAAACGATATTTTACGTTTTTAACGGGAAAATAAGATTTTATTGAAAAATAAAATTTTACGTTTTTGATAAAAAAATGAGATTTTACGGAAAAATAAAATTTTATGTTTTTGAAGGAAAAATAAGATTTTATGTTTTTTGACGGAAAACGAAATTTTACATTTTTGATAGAAAAATGAGATTTTACATTTTTTAACAAAAAAACAAGATTTTTTGGATTGAATCATGTTCAACCAGATGCTTCAAATTGAATCAGTTGGATGAATCTCAAATTTCTTCATAAATTTATAAGTCATCCAAATAACCATCTAGATAATCCATCTAGATGAGTAGATTAATATAATTAAACGAATATCATTTGACTGTTTTAGCTGGATGATCTATCGAGATGAGCAAACGAACAAGCCATAACTATTTTGGATTGATTGTAATTCATAAAGGGATTCAAAGAATTAATTACATCTTCTAATAATGAATTAATCGAAAGTGTACGCGTCGAAATTTTAGGTTACCAAATAATATATACTAGATGATTATCTGCACTCTATGCGGAATAAATTTTAATCACAAATTTGTATTCGAATATGCAAAAATAATATATATATATATAATTAAAAAATGTTAACTGATATTTATAATTACAAATTTATGTATTGATTATACAATCACAAATAATAGTTATAATTATATTTATTTTGTAATATAATTGCATAAATGCTAGATAATTGTAAATTTTATAATTAATTTAATAGTATCTTTTGTATAAATAAAATTACACATTTGAATATACTAAATATGATTAATATGTTCTATCTAACCGGTTCAACATCAGACTAAAATATTTAAATTTTAATAGAAAAAACTTAATTATTATATGTATGAAAAAATGAAAATTTTTATTAAATGGATAATATGATTTAAAAAAAAATTAAGATCAAATAAATATGATATAAAAAATATAGTGTTTCACTATTTTGTAACCTAAGTAATATTATGTATTAAATTTTTATAAATCTGTTGTTAAAAAATAGAAAGAGAAATAATATCTTTACAAATTAAATGTTAAATATTAAATATATAATTGATATAAACTAATTTCTAACCAAATTGATGTTAAAGGCAAATAATGTAATTACTCTAGTAAAACAAACATTTTTTATATGTGTTTTGAAAAATTCTCTTTAATGACGCATCAATATGACACTTTTGTAAATCACACATGACCTAAAGATTATTTTTAAATTATATTTTCCAAATAATAATAGAAGATATATATATATATATATATATATATATATTTCGTCTTCCTGATCATGTGCGTATTGATGATGTAAATGTTCTTAACATTTTGATTGATCTCACTTTGCTCTATTCGTTTTGCAAGATTATAAAGGTCACAGTTTAAAACCTAAATTCAGTTTTTTCGTATGACATTTATTTCTAAAAGTTTAATAGCAAAAATTATTGATAGTATAGGGAGGGAACAAAAAGAGCCCACCACCCATGTGCGAATCTCATCTGCTTTCTTCTCTCGTTAAGTACCCAATGGACCTCCTTCTTCCTTGATGTGACTCTCTTTTCTTCTTTCCCATTCTACCCTTTTCTTCTCTTTTCTACTTCCTCCATTGCTTTCTTCACACATTGGGTACATGAAAATGGGTTTGATCATTTATCATCTATATTATATATATATATATATATTTATATATATTTATATATATTTATAAATACATGCATAAAAGCTATATAATAAGTAAATTTATTTTGGATGGTATGGGTTTGGCTGAGAGAATAAGGAAATATTAATACTTTTCGTAATTATCTCATTGCTTGTGTACAAAATTTCACTATCATCTGTTTTGTTTTAGGCTTCTAAATGCATTCCCATAAAATCCTCGGATCCTTATTCATATTTTTTTTTGTCCACCCAACATTTTTCGTAGATAACTCAAATATTCATGACCAATCAATTAATTCTTTACTTTTTTATTTCAAGTATATTAACCAACAATGAGAATAAAGCTTACAACATTGGGGTTTACAAATATAAAACCAATATATGACATCAATCAAGTGCATATTCTCATTATTTCCATTTAGTATCCAAAATTTGGCATGTTGCAAATGCTCTTACAGTCTTACTATACAAAAAGTAAATATCTTAAACCATAACATACCCAAACTTTCATATATTACAATATAGAGGTCTACAAGAACCATTACAAACAAGAAATAGCTAATAGCAGAACTCTTTCCATCTACTTTAGCTCCTTCTACTTTCAACAAACTTCTAATTTTACCCCAAAAGGAAACTCATTAAACATTTAATACCCAACACGCTAAAAAAAAACACCATGAACCATTTTAGCCACTGTCCACTTTCACACTCCCCAACGAACACGTTACAAAAAAACCATCAGAGGTAGAAAACTGGAATTTTTAGTGGTCTTGGAAACATGAAAAATAATAATATATATTCTCAATTACTAATTGCCTTCGGCTTGGAGTAGTAAACTAGTAATAATACGTAGACAATACTAATCAAATGGTTTTTTCAATAGCTGATTTTCCGAAATTGCCCATTTCAAACTCTGAAGTTCTTTCCCATGAAAGTCTGACCAAACTGCCAATGAGCCGGAGCAATGTTCCACGACGTGGAAGTTCTACGATCACTGCCTGTGACTCTAAACGAAAGTGACTGACCAACCAAAACAGAGTTTGATTGCCAGTTTTGCCCCCAGTTTCGGCTCATGCTCATCCACGAAGTTCTTGTTCCTTTCACGCTCAGCCGCACGATGTTTCCAGCTCCGGCGACGTTTGTGACCAGAACCAAGTTAAAGTAACGGAAACCGTTGATCGTGAACCTCATTCCTCCTCTTTTCCGGCATGGCACTCTAGTAATTAATAAGAACAAGACAAGGGTAGTTTCGTCATTGTTACATCCCAACAAAGCAAACAAAAAGTAGGAGAAAACGCGTGTTGACTATAAGAACCCACATTCATTATTTGTTACCCACGACTTTTATTATTTGTACTGAAAAGTAAAAAAGGGATTGTTGCAAGGACAGTTTCGTCTTTTTGCAGGAAAATAAGATCTTTAAGATTTGGTAAATAGCCGCATACGAAACCCGACATAAATACTGCACCGACGACTCGCGCCAAGAATCAAAACATAAGACTTTTTAACCGCAGCCCTATATTTCTAGATTATTAAGTTTAATACCACAACTTTTGATGATGCCGAATTAACCTCAGCTATTCGAATTTAGACGTAAAGCCTTTTCAACCGAATCCCAAAGTGGCAAAGCTTTTAAAATGTTAACTCTAATACCCTAAGCTTTTTAGTTCTAACATCATTTACCGCAGTCCTTCAGATTTCAAGACATAAAAGACTATATTTCTAAATTGTTAAGTTAAAAATCCCAAAGTTTTGAATATTGTAGACATAGCACCCACCCGTTTAGAATCCAGACTCAAGACTTTTCAACCGAACCCCAGTGTTTCTACAACTTTAGGTCTAAGAACCTAAGCTTTTAACTTGAGCAGCATTAACCCCAGCCGTTCAGAATCCAGGGTAAGACTTCTCATCCGCACCCGGATTCTTTTAAAATGTAACATTAAACACCCGAAAGTTTTAACTCTACCAAAATTTACCCTAATTTGTCCAAATTCAAGCAACCAATCTAAAAAGCAAATCAACAAAGTCTTTATCTAAATTTATTTTCAGTGATGATAGTGAGTTCTTACCGGCGGAAAGAGACGGGGACAATTCCGGCGCGATACTCGGCGATCTTGAGGAACATAGGCATAGCGAGATCGAAGTGAGGCCTAGGAGGGTTGCACCATCCGCCATTGTCACTGGGCTGAGCGAAGTTCGGAGGACAGAAATTGGTGGCAGTGATGAAGATGGAAGGGCTTCCTGAGTGGCACCACTTGGGATCACTCGCGCATTTAAGCTCGAAACAAGCGCCGCAACTGAATCCGTTGTTGAACAGAGCCGTGCTTAGAGCCGCCGTGTTTACACCGTAGCCTTGGCTGTACAAGTTGCCGTAACCACAAGCACCTCCTGGTTCAAACAAAAACAGAGCAAAATTGAGTTTAGAATGTGTTCGCATAAAGTTGAAACCTTTGTGGTAAATAAAACAGTAATAACAATATCACAAGATTTTGAAATTTATGTAACCGATAATTTGACAATGTGGTAGGTTAGTTAGCAGTGATGAGCACAAAATGGAAACTTTATGTTGGGTTAGTACTAAAGTTGGAACCTTTGGAGTAAAATTAGCACGAAAATTATCAAATTGGCTACAAGATTCCAACATTTGATGCAACCGTTATTTCGACAATGTGGGTTACCAAAAAGATGGAAACTTTTGGTTTAAACTTAAATTGAGGGATGAGAAAAATGTAAAATTTTGGTGGAAGAGAAGAGAGAGAGAAAAACACACCCATGGTGCCAGAAGCATCAGAGCCACCATAGAAAGTAGCGTGAGCACTTTCCCAACCTCCTCCATTGTAAACTCCTGGGATTCTTGCTTCATAAATTGCTGTTAAATCCGCAAGAATTGTAAGAACACATAAAACCAAAGCCAACACTGCCATTATGAGAGAGAGAGATATTTTGGGAGAAGGAGGCAGAGGAAGAAGAAGAAGAGACTATTGGAGTGTTCTCATGTGTGTTGGTAAGGGAAGTGAAACGGAGATGTATATATAAATTACATTGTGTATAAAAATCTTGTATTTATTTTTCTTGACTCGCAATATTCTCTTTCTTCATCGTTACAAGAGTTTTTATAAAATAGATTTCCTTGCTATTTTCCTCCTTTATTTTATTTTACTCTTCAGAATTTGTTTCTTAAAACTTTGCTACTAATCATCCCAATCATCTTGTATTTAAGTATAGAATATTTATATACACTATATTATAAATGTTTGGGTCTATTAGTAAGTAGTCTATTATGTACAAAAGTTCATGCGTACAATATACATATACACTATATTAGTAAGTAGTGTATTATGTACAAAAGTTCATGCGTACAATACAAATCCATTATTCATAAATGTTTGGGTCTTGCGCTTCCCTCTATGGCTCTATGTGTGTATCAGAAGATGTCTATTGCCAATCTTACGTGTGGGTAAGAGCGCGTGATTCACAACACCCAATCATAATTATTTATGTACGGATAAAGGCAATGTTGCTCCACTCAGATTTGATAAAGATGTTTCCACGCTCTCTTTAGGCGCGTTGGGATGACCACTCTCTTGTTGCTTTCAATATTTTCGCCCTTTAAATTTGCGACATCTACATTGATAACTATTGATATGTGTATGTAACGTATTAATTTTGGGGTAATGTATTGAATTGTATACAAGACTTTCTTGTAATGGCTAAATTAGTTTCTATTTTAACAGTTAGAGCTTATAACCATTTTATCGTTGAGGTTACAACTAGATTAAAGTTTTTCTTTTCAATTTAATAAAAGTCAATAGATTTCGTATTTAGCAAAACTAAAGAAAAAGAGGTTACTAAATGATAAAGTAATGACTTTTTTGTTTGTTTTGCATTACCTAGTAATTTGAAACATTTTGTAGCTATAAAGATGATGATGATAGTATTACGTAGTTATGATGATATGTCTTATAATGTTCACGGGTTGCATGTGGAATACGAGTTTTCTACACTATATATACTAATATATAATCACGGATAACTCCCAATACTTTACAATTAAAAGTCATACATTATCATAATACAGTTGTTATAGTATCTTAGATTTTATTTTAAAACCAAAGAAGAAATTATTGTTTTAGTATCACACCTAATACCTTTCTTAAGCATAATTTCCCCTTTGTTGCAAGACACATGATTGGTCCGTAGGTAACGGACATTAGCAAATAAATGGTAATTATGTTACTTGGAAGCTAAAGAAAACTCAATTATCAAACTTCATGAAGGAAAGTGATGTTACCCCCTAAAAAATCCACAATAATTATCAACGCAATTGAAGGTTATTTCGAGTAGTAATCTAGTTATTTTTCTTATAATGATTAAGTAATTTTCAAGTTTTTTGTTTGAACATTTAATTTTCAAGTTTTCACCCCATAGCTGTTTTAAATTTGGATAAAAATGTAGTAATATAATATAAGAAAGTAAAGCATCTATTTCCGCGAGAGATGTATATATGAATTTCAGAAATAATTATAGAATTTGATCTAGTGTTTTGGTTACTAAGGAGTTATGAAATTCGGATCGATTTTGGATTCATAAATTTTGATATTCTTGATTAAATTTACTAAGCGTTAATTATGTCCAAACCAGCTGGATACAAATAACATGGATGTCTAAACCAACACAGGGTTATCGAATAGAATACTAATGCTCTAATGGAGAATCATATAGTAAAAAGACAAAATCTAAAAAGAATGATTTACTACTTTCTTAAATATGTATGTGCTCGTCACTCTTTTTTTAATATAAAAAATGTTTCCATGCATTGGTATAGTGTTTTTTTTTGGTACAAAGTTTAAACCATCGTTATAGACTTATAGTCTTAACTATGTTTTAAACTACTGTTGTTTTTCACACCTACTCTAATTTTTTTTTTAGTCACCTATTTTCAATATTTTTGAGCTATACAAATTATACAATTTAAGTTGTCACATGGTATACGTACAATAAGACATGTGTGGTTTGGTATAAGTAGGAATCTACATAACATATAGAAAATAGAATTGAACTGTTGATATAAATAGATGAGGTAAACTAAATATATGCAAACAAAGTCACATTTATCATTATAAAGAGAAAGAAACAATGTTTTTTTTAGCCTCGAGTGAGTAAAGAAAATGTTTTGGAAGGCATGATTGAAGGCTGAGATTGGATGATGAGTGATGACTAACCACATGGGGACCACCACATGGAATCCTATCAAGTGTACTTGTCCGACGTAGAACTGTGGGACATATTTGATTACCGTAATCACCGGAGCATGTAAACCGGCGAATCTGTTAAACTGAAATTAAAAGTAACTAATAAAGCTCACACCTTAAAACAAAACTAATGTTCTATAGATTAGTTTAATGTTTCTTGAAATAAGAGAGATTGATAAATTCTCGAGCCGCACACGCTAAACGATGGCAAAATTTCTGTCTTGTTTAGTTGTTACTACTCGCCCTTTTATTTTCCGGATGACTAAATTTTTTTTTTTTTGTTGTTGTTGTTGTTTGCATCTAAAAATGTGTTGCTGAACGGCTGAACCTGTCGTGGAACCTAGTGTAGTCTTAGTAATAGGAAGAACACCGTAGTTTGGACTTTGGAAAGTAGATGATTCTATCATAAAAATTGAGTGTTTTAAAAACAGTTTAAATGGTTGTGACAATTATCTCTTAAACGATTAAACTGTACAGTTTTGTTAGTAAACGGATTATTTGTAGGAAGTAAATTTAGAAGAGACAACTATTACAATGTAAAAAAACGATTTGAGACACAGAAAAACGTTTTATAAAAGCGGATTAAGGAAAAACGAAAAGTAGAGGCGAGATGATCTCTTTTTTTAATTCAAAATATCTCCCGCAGTATGGTGGTTGGATGAGATAATGAATCCCAGGATACAACCACTGATATTCGTATAATCGCAACACCCGATTATAGAATGTGACGAACTAAAATTCTAATATATACTCTCGGATGCTTACTTTTGAAAGAAGAAATGAGACGCGAGAGATTGAAGAAAAGTGTGAACGATTTTACTCTGTGTAGAGCCATTGTAAATGAGTATGGAGAAGGCGATATATATAGTGAAGGAGAGAAGAGTGTCGCACGTAATCAGCGTGTTAATGACGTGATTAATTGTGCATTAATGACGTGATTTGGGCGTTAATCTTGACGTAATTTTCGGGATCGACAGTTGCCTGCATTTTTTATGTCGTGATTCTGTAGGAATTTGAACCGAAAACTTTAACAATTTGGGCCAGAAATGTTGAACAAAACGTGGTCCAAAAAGAACATCTTTTGTGGGCCGAAGGCCCACATTCACCAAGACCCAAGACCCGAGTCCGAGCCCGGCTCGGCTCGGCGGCGACGCGCGAGGGATCCTTGGTTCTCTTTCACACACTTTGAACTCTGTCATGTGTATATCTATATTTATATGGTTCCATATTTCACAAAACTATCGATGTGGGACTTAGAGATTTTCCTCACATTTAAGTTAGCCTTAAAAGGCTTATTTTTATTCACACTTACCGAATGAAAAAGCTTTTTGAGCTTTGAAATTATTTGGTCCAACAATCCCCCACATGAATAGAAATAACTCTAGACATACGACTGGACTGACTCGATAAAATAGACTCGACTAGAGTAGACACGCTTTTACTAGACTAGACGGACTTTCGAGAGTATAAACGAAAATTCCACTGTGTTTGAGATAGTAGTGCGTTTCAGCCTTGAACCACTCAATGTTAATATCTGTCGGGCTTACTCAGCCAGGAGGTGAACATGATGTCTTGAACCACCCGGATTTTGATGTAAACCGAGACAACAAATACAACTCAGTTTCATTTCCTCGTAGAACTAAGTTCTCTATTGCGTTCATTTTGGCCTTGAACTTGCCTGGTAAATCATGAGTGAAGTTGGAGAATATAGCCTTTTGTTTTTTTTTTCATTCTCCTAAAAACGGCCCCATTTCACACTCACTAGTTGATTTTGCCAATAGTCTTTGTTTTAAGAAGTGTTGTACTTCACTGATATATCAAAGCTATGTTTTAATCATTAAAAACTATGCTTATCCTTTGGAGATATACAATGAAAATTGTATGTAAGCACTGTCAATCATCTTGGGACATAGGTTAAGACTATACGTCTCTCAGTGCGGTACATTTTGGTTTGATTTTGTTTTCCCTTTTGAACCTTGCATCTTGGGATCTCTAGTCATGTAGGTGGGGTTTCCATCAAACAACCTCTTTAGTCATAGGCGTTAAACCCATTCCCTTTGATGATTTGAGAACTTGATCACGAGCTAGACCCTTAGTGAATGGATCTGCTAGATTATCAGCTGATTTTATGTAAGCTAGTGAGATTACTCCGGTTGTGATCAAGCTTCTAATGGTTTTATGTCGCTTTCTTATGTGAAGAGATTTACCATTATAGAGATTATTCAGTGCCCGGGCGATAGCTGATTGACTATCACAGTGTACACGTATTGTCGGTATTGGTTTCTCCCACGTTGGAATATCTTCCAAGAAATTTTGGAGCCATTCAGGTTCCTCTGCAGCTTTATCTAAAGGTATAAATTCAGACTCCATGGTTGATCGGGCTAGTAGAGTTTGTTTGGAAGACTTCCAAGAGACTGCTGCACCACCAAGGATAAAAACATATCCACTTGTGGATTTCGAGTTTTTGGTGTCAGATATCCAGTTTGCATCACTTTATCCTTCAAAAACTGCTGGTTCTCTCCCATAGTGCAACCCATAATTTTTAGTGTATCGAATTTACTGTAATACTCTAGTTATGACTTTACAGTGTTTGTGTCCTAGATTATTTTTATAGCGACTTACTACATTTACCGCGTGTACTAGATCAGGTCTAGTACAATTGGTTAAGTACATAAAGCTACCAATTATTCTTGCAAACTCTACTTGTGACACTGCTTCACCTGAATTTTTGGTCAAGTGAAGTTGAGAGTGAACATGAGTTTTTGCAGTTTCA